ATATCGGAGCGGTCAGATCAGGTATATGACAGGTTCACATAAAAGTACATGAAGTCCATGTCCTTGTCTTCAGGTGGACGGACAAATGAAGGTCCAAGTCAAGTGTCAGTCTGTCCATATGAAAATCCAGGAATTAACTGAACTCCTTGGATCACTTGATCGGGGTCGACAAAGCCGAAGCTGTCAGGATCATCATGTTTGAAAAACCCAACACAATGGAGTCATTTAGCAGACCACCCGGCTGTCATGTACCTGATCTGACCGCTCCAATATCAATATCCCCTCCGCTTTCCGACCACCTTCGCTCCTTCCATTCTCTGCTCTGTCCAATCATTATCCACATCTGCCCCTATGTTTCCGCTCGACTGCCCAACCGGTCCCCTTCCATAATGCCTCCATTCAACTGGAACTGCTTTCCCCTTTTAGGTATATACTTTCCCCTTTGGTACATAGACCCTTACTTCCGGATCACCAGTAATTCCTCTTACCGCTCAATCACTGATCCAACGCGTACATATTGATATCCGCTCTGACTTATGTCTTCACCTGTGTAAGTACTTACAAATTATATCCTTGGTACATAGCTTTACAACATAGTTATCCTGATCACTGCCTCATACTTAGAAGTATATAACATATCCTGTACTTAGATATTTTCTTCAGTCTTAATATTACTTGTCTTCTTGCAGTTACTACTTGTGAGAATTCTCAGTAGGACCTTGCCTCCTCTGGACACAAGTTTCATCTTGTTGTCACCTCCGACCCTCCGCTCTGACTTAGAGCCGTGCTCTAAGTCTTCTCTTTACCTCTCCGCTCCTATCAAGCATTACCCCTGCTTCCTCTCCACCCTCTACACTATCCCCCGCCTTATCTGCTCCACTCCTAGTCGGCCCGCCACTAGTAGCTCTTACCCCCCGACCCTCAAAGCGGACCTAAGCGGTCCACTTGTCCTACCATCAGACAACGTCAGACCCGCTCCAAATTTGGGGCACACACTCGGCTAAGGGCGCAGCGCAAGAGCTGAAGCCAAGCCCTGACCCCTCTGCCTCTTGAGCCGGCACGGTACCTAACACTGGCTTGGAAGGTGATGTCTCGTCCAAACCAGAGCACAAATAACACGTGCATGTGAGTAGGTGCTGTTTGAGGCATGGCACCTGGGCCATAGTGCCACACATTGACATGGTAAATCTTGATAATGCGTGCATACCAATAAGGATGTCAGTCTTTGTCGTCCTCATACGACAACACCATAATGTTAGCACAAGTTCACGGGTTCATTGAGTCTTGCTCTCTGTGAAAGTCATATGCCATGTAGTTGATGCGAAGGACGCTATGTTCAAAGAGTTGGTTAGCGAAGATCACCTGACTCCTGTCCTCACCAGAGAACTCATCCTCATCCCTGGAATATTCAAGGCCACACAATCTGGCTAACAGGTGGTTCTTCAACCTTGGAATGAAGTCCTTTAAAATCATGTTAATAGATCTCACAAACACCAATAATCCATACTTGCCTTGATCGCTGGGTCATCTGTGAGTTCACCAAGCCATGCAGTCATATCATACAACAATTTAGGATATTTGGAGATATGGTAATGGGTGGCGAGAGATGTGCGTTCACGTGGCTCATGGCGTGGCCCCAATAATTCCTCGCGTCGTTGATTTATCTGTGATATAACATGCTCACGAGATTCAAGGTGGGTCATCATAGCAATCATTGTCTTCTTATTTTTTGCTGTCATTGGGTACCAATGCTTGGCTCGCCAGTGCTCGAGTTCTCCCTAAAAATAGCATGTCAGATGTTTGATAGTAGTAGTGAGAATTCGAATATACTTACTGATTGTGTGGAATAGCTATCTGTGGTACCAAAATGTCGGATTGTGTTAGGATAACGTCCAAGAGCGTGAAATTTATAAGTTGACAAATTGAGGGCCTTGAACTTGGGACCGGACTTCTGCTTCCCTTTCCCTGAAGATGAAGGCTGTTTAGCTGCTAATGCAGCCTCTCGTCATCCTTGCGCTGCATACTCGTGAGGGAGTTCCGTTGTGTGGTAGCAGCTGCATGTAATCTTGTAGAACGTTCAAATGGACTGACCCAAGACCACAGTTGCAGTATCAAAGAATACGAGTGTATCTTCTGTGTGCATGTGAAGTTTCGCACATCCATGCCAAACAGAGAGATCAAATAGCAGATCGAGCACTATTTTATTGTGGGGTTCTGGCAATAGGTTCTCAAACACAGGCATAGCACACTGTGAAGATTAAAGATAGACAAATGATGATGATTAAGATCAACTTACCTTCAATAGGTCCTCAAAGTCATGAGTGGCAAGTTTTTTCATGGCCAATGCATTGTGATGGAAACGATGAATTGTACCCCTTCCAAATGTTGGTACTCCTCGGTATCTAATGCAACCTACTGTGAGCTCATAGGACAAATTATATACAAAATGAAAATTACCGTCTATTGAGATCTTGAATCACATTCCCTCCGGCCGCATGAAGTATGCGCATCAAATGAGTGAACTGTGCCTTCCAAGCACCAATCTTGAACTCATGAAGCTGATCAACAACAAACATATCAAACATATTGAATCCATGATCGGCCAGTCTTTCAGAAAAGGCACTCTGAAACTATATATTAGTTAAAAGAAATGTAGAATATGCAGCATTACTTACATGGATCAGAACGTATGATGCTTCATTGAGAAGTGCTCTGACATGACTCCCACCCACAGGCACTCCAAGCCGGAAAATCAACTGTCAAGCTTCTTCAACAACTGTCATCATCTAAAGTCATCGACTCACTGGCTAGTCACGTGACTCTTCATGTCGAGTTTCATCCCCATCTTGTGGACGTTGGCCTTCTTGACGAGGCAGCATGGGCAAAGACACTGTCCGAGAAATTTTATAGTAGCAAGGAGAACCCTGTGCAATGTGTTGGTCAATGCCTCATGTCTCACATGTAACATGAAACATGTACTCACTTTTCCGGATAATCAGCTGAATATGAAAAGAAATGTGGAGATACTCTTTGTGTGATCCTATCAGAGCACCGGATCACTATTCTGTGCTCATATGCTTCCATAAACTTACTGTCGAGAATTAATCTCCACACAGTGTGCATCAGCTCATGTTTCAGATGTGTATATACATCACTTGAGGTGGCCTCTCCAAATATGTCGACATATATTTCCTGTAGATTATCAGGAAGCTGAGAATCATAAGCACAAGTAAGATGCCAGTATTGAATGATATGACGTACTGTTGGAATATACGCCAAATGATGGGACGCATGAGCTGTGGGTTTGCCTTGTGTATACTTGGACTGGTTGCCTAAAAATACATAAAAAGGCCATAGGGATGTATCACCAAAACTAGCCAGGTGTGTGGCATCTGACCAGACCATGTCTGAGGTGACAATGCGTTCAAGATCATCTCCAGGGTCATGAGGAAGGGCGTTAACTTTTTTGTAGGCTTCCATCAAGGTGGGGGATGTATATGCCTCTGAGAAGACTTTGACCGTGCGGTTGTCAGGAGTGGTCCAGAACTGATTGAACAGAGTCATATTAAAGGTCTGCAAGATGTTGCTCTCGAATGCGTGCGTGATGATATCTGTCAAGGAACAGTGGTAAACACCTGGGATCTCAAGTTCAGGCGCATTGGCTTCTGATGGGAACTTCATCTTCTCCTTCGGTAATTGAACCTTGATGGTGGATTGGCGCCATCCATATTCTTCTCGAAAGGGGTTGGACTTATCTTCGATATACTTGTCCAATAACTTCATTTCACATGTGAAATTAAATCCTCTCATGTGTGAGAGCGAGCAAAGGGGGTCTGAACTAAGGTATTCTGCGAGGCAATTGACATTAACCCCTGAATTACTATTTGTTCCAGAATGATGCCATGCCATTAGAACTCCGGAGGTGTGGTTTGAGAATGCATCGAATAAATGATCAGCAGTGATTTCGGGTGTGGGGAGTCCAGGGTGGGTTCCAGAAGGTGCGCACTGTTCACCATTGAGGGTAGGAGCATCTGTCATGCCCTCTAACGTCAAATCACCCTCTGGTGCTTGAGTGGGACGTGTGGGGTACACACGGTAAAGCCCCATCACATCAGGCTCTGTCTGGAATGGAATAAGTGCAGGGGCAAGATCTTCAGGCTCAGAAACCAGGGCTGGGGACAAAGACAGCACCCGATCTTGATTGCCTTGATCGTTGGTGGCATATGTGCCAGGTATGTAGCTGACCCTGGAAGGTAGTCAATGAATCGACGGGGGATGCGGACTGCACGTCCAGAGCACTTAGATGTGACTGGGGGAGGTGAGGGCGAGTGGGGAATGTTTGATGGTCCTGTAAAATCTTCATCCTTGTAAAGTTAGCGTCACTGAAGTAGATATAAATAAATGGTTGAAATTACTTGCTCAAACATGATGCCCTCATTAACATCCATCTGAGCTCCATAGTCAACTCCCCCTTCTTCATCATCTATACCTTGCTCAATTATTTCTTCCCGCTCAATGTGCGTCCGCTTGGACTTCTTGCCAGACTTCTGACTTGTAGCATTTCTTGGTGCTGAAAGCGGAACTCGTGAGATTCAACACTTTGTTTTGTGAGCATTGTGAGGCATGTCCAGATAATTGTTTCTGGGTAGGAAAGGTTTTACCGCAGCCCAGACATGCCAAGTCCAACATCAAAGGAGGTTGATTCCAAGAGTGAGACATCGATGCACTTTATATCCCTCACTCAAACCAAGGAGGAAACTCTGGAAACTCTGATCAATGCATTATCATTACATGCCAGGAATATAGAATACAAAAGTAGGAAAGTAGCATGGAGGGGTTAGCATGTTAACCCACCAGTATCGCAGTGCACAATCACCCTCAATGGACATAAAGGTGGGGCTGTGTGCTGGTTCCTTCATCAGTAAGGGATCCACTGGTTCCTGCGAAGACCCACCATGAAGATTACTGAGGGAAGTGTAGAAGTCAATACCCTCGAAGAGGGTATCAATCCCGAGGGACAGAGGAGCAACATTGAGAAGCAAGAGGTCCTGAGTCTTCTCAGAAGTGTCACCAGAAAGGATGGCATCCTGGACGGTGGCACTATAAACAACAGCCTCATCAGGGTTGATACTCTTGTTAGGCTCCTTGCCATTGAAGAAGTCAGACATAAGCTTGACGATACGGGGAATACAAGTAGAACCACCGACCAGAATGATTTTGTGGACATTGGCCTTGTCGATCTTGGAATCCCAGAGATAAGCAACAGCCTCATCAGGGTTGATGCTCTTGTTGGGCTCCTTGCCATTGAAGAAGTCAGACATGAGCTTGATGATATGGGGAATACAAGTAGAACCACCGACCAGAATGATTTTGTGGACATTGGCCTTGTCGATCTTGGAATCCCGGAGAACTTTCTCAACGGGCTTGAGCGTGCTGCAGAATGCCATGAGTGACCAAGGTGCTCAGAGCAGCCGCCTGCGTGTGCAAACCTAAAGAAAGCTATTAAAAAATTAGAAAATTAAGAAGAGGATTCCCTTAGTGCTCAGGGACCTAGGAGACACAAGATAACAGCGGTTGGTCATGCAAAGTGCATGTATTGGTCTCTGGAATGGGTGGGCGCCCAATGGTACTAACTAAAGAACAAAAACTCCTAAGTTCAAATTATTTTTTGGGTGTTGATTTAAATGTCCGCCAGCAAATTATGGCTCACTGATATTAGATAGTTGACGCGAAAAATCCAAGTTGCATCCTTAATGTTATACTACCACTGTATCACCTACTATTTTTTTTCTTAATGTCACTGCCTGATGGACCCCTCGACATTAGCCACAAGTTCGGTGTTGACGGCAATTTCATTGTCATCAATGTTGAAAATCTTCTGATTGACTGGCCTACATACCTGGTTAAGTTTACACCAAAGAATCCAGGCCCTGTCGTAAGTTTACATGTCACAATAACCGAGTATTATGTTAACTATGTTACAGAAGCTCATCTTGCACTTAAAAGATGCGTCAAAGCTCACCTGGGATCAAGACAGCGACACAGAGACACCAGCAGTAAAAAAATCAGGCAAACTGTTACAGCTGTGTTGTTCTATGAACTTCTTTCTTCTTCCCTTGATCCACGCTGACTATGCATGACTCTTATCGCTCTATATTTAGTTCAGTATGACTCAGACACCTCATTGCTCACACATGTAGCTTACTGATCATTACCTATTATTACGTCATACCCTGTACCCTGTTTACTATATAAACCCTGGCTAGGTGATGCTGATTCCTCAGCTTAACCTACACTGGTTTTCCTCTGAACATCTGACTTGATTCTAAGCTACCTCTTCGGTACTTAGTCTATACTTGAACTTGGACATTCTTTAGACAGTTGTCTAGAACGTATTGACAGACCTTTGGTCTTATTGGTTGATTGTTTGCCTGCGTTATACTTCGGTGTAACACAAACGGTATGTTACTGCTTGTTGCACTGGCGAGTACATAGATTGATGTATTTCCCTAGATCCTTGCACAGCACCATGACGGACACTAGTATATCAATCTCGGAGACGTCTTATAAGCCAAAGTATGTTTTTTGTGTGTCTAACCTCACTGTACTTGCAGGAATGTCTCTACGCTCACCTGGTCCATTTCAGTGCACTTCCTAGGTATTCAAAAAGAGCCTGCCTCGGTCATGAAAAAATGCAAGTTTCAAGATGAAAGTTCAATTTGGCCCCCTCACCGTGCACATGCCTTCAAACCAGTATTAGACTTACCGATCTCAGTGTTTGACAAGCTCACCATTTTGCCTGCTGGTGTATCAGCTGTGACTGGGGATATTGTGTAGTTTTCATTTCACACATACTGTTGTGTTATGTTCTCGCTCTTGCTTTGCTAACTTTGCATACTTTCACATACTTTCGCATACTTACTTGTTGTTATGCTGTCACCTGTCTCACTGCATATGTTGTTGCTCATACTTGTTGTAGCATCAAGATTAATTGTAATACAAGGCGACCACCAATTATATAAAAACATTTGATAACTTTAGTCAACTGCTGAAATATGACCATCACATGGCAGAATTCATAGCCCACCGGAAAACTCCTGTGTAGTATCATATTGACATGTACTATTGCATACTATTCCTTAATATTATACCACTTACTACTTTTCCATAGTACTATATTACCATGCCTCACAAACAACATGCCATATCGATCAGTGCATCTGAAGGCAGTAGCGCCTCTGAATCTGACTCCACGATCTCAAGAGACGCGTCATCAACATGTTCATCTCCAACTCCAATCACCAAAAGTAAGGCGCAAAAGGTGTCCAATAAGGACAAAAAGGCTGAGAAAAGGCCAGTGAAGTGAGTTGCAAGCACTGACTGACAAAATCATTCCTGTTAATAGTGCATATATTCACAGAAAACCTAATAGTAGGGATGATTCTAATGAGAGGTAGTAGATCTCACTCCTATTTCGTGAGAGAACTGACTGGCAGTGGAATAGGGACCGATGTCTGCACGTTGCATGTTGGATTCTGTGTGTGATCAACATGTATGTTGCCCTCAAGGATACCTTTAGGATCGGTATGCTCCTCGAGCAGGAAGAAGCTGCCAAGGATGGCACTCTGATTGAGGACAATGCCACCAAGAAGGAGCGCCATGCAATCCTTCAAAATGTGTAAGTGCCTTTGTTTTCTTATTAAAATACCTGAACATTGTTTGGCAGGAAAAAAGAAGTACAAGAGCATTACTTTAGGACCTACAACAGGATCCTCATCAGCGCACCCTACCTCCACACCCTCATAACGGGTAATACCAAGAAACATTGAAAGGAGTTGGATAGTATCCTGTCTGAGGTGCGTATACTAATCCATGTAGTGTACAGAATTGTTAGCGCTAATTCCATGAGAAGATGCAGGACACCATTGGGCAAATATGCCCTGAAGACGCAAGTAAACTAAAACCTTACATAGGACATTATGCAGCTGTGGAGCCTGACATGAAGGGGCTGGAACTGCTGATTTTCTCCGACAATAAGAAGTCCCGCACTAGGATGGGAGTTAACCACCCCCAGATTGCTGCCATGCTCTGTCCGATCAAACACCTTACATTGTACAATGAGGATCACAAGAAGTAAGTTTATATTTACCCAAAGTGTTGCATTTTAAACGATTTTGCAGAATTCAAGCACAGCTGCAAAATGGAGAGGTAAAGATGCATGCAGCTGCATGGCCTGCATTTGCATATGAGGGCGATTCACCTGGAGAAAACTTCGATCTGCTGAATATGCAAGATGGCCTTTTCAAAGGCTATCTTATGAAATGGGTATGTAACATGTTTTTCTTTCTTGGCACTGGCTCGACTTTTGACAACAGGTTTTCCGTCATATATTCAAGGGTCCTTCCTCCGCACTTGTCAAGGACAGAGAGGCCGTAACCACCTGCTCAGGCAATGCGAAGCTTCACAACATGACACGGGTGGATGCCGAACATATTGCCTATACATTTGTCCAGGCATGTATGTCGTTACCTATCTGTGAATATCTTTTACAACATAATTTGTAGTGCTGTTTCAGTATTTCATCACGCAACAACTGGCAGGCAACTGATGGTAATTACAACTATCATGACACATACTACCGAATCATCAAAGCCATTCGGGACCCATTCGATCAGGAATGGGCAGATTCATTGCTCAAGTGGTGGAACATGTAAGTATTATTTATCCTCTGCCTTCATACTGAGCTATACTTCTCATAAAGGTCTGTCTTTGGTGACAAGGCAGGTGTGCCTGTCTTTGATGTCAGCGATGACGACAATGAAGAGGAGGATGATTTAATCATCATGAGAAAACAGTTTGCAAGTCGTGCTGCAGCAGCACAAGTCGAGGTTTGTGTATGTTCTTACTCCGGGATATTTTACTAATTTGTCATTTCAGTCTGTATCTATGAAAGCACAGCCCAGCAAAGGTAGTACTCTTTCTGATCCTAACCCTGATAAATCCATGATGGACATGACTTTGACTCCTGCCACTATGCCACCTCCCATCGAAGAACCTACTCCTCCCCCAGCCAGGGCAATTCCTAAGCCTCATCCTGTCAAACCTACTCCACAGAAGAAGGCGCCGCCTGAAACTGTGGCTCCCATCGAAGAGACTCCAGCTAGGGCTAGGCGGAGTCCTGTCAAAGTTACTCCACAGAAGCAGGCACCGCCTGCAACTGTGGCTCCCATCCCCTCTGGTTCACGCACTGGCACCTGAACATCCAAGAAACGTGGCAGGTCCAATGTTGTGGAATCTGATGGTGAGATATCCGAGCTGACAGAAGAGGAATCAGATGCGCCTGCTCCATCAAAGCGTGCCAGGAGAAGCAAGGGCGCCACCACTACTGTGACCAAGAGGACACGCAGGAGCAGTGTTAAGACTGTGCTCAGGGGTAAAGCGGATTCTGAGGGGCTTGGCTTCAGCTCATACGCTGCGCCCCTTACCCGAGTATGTGCCCCTAATTTCGGAATGTAGTCCAACACAAATTCTATGGGTTCCGACAGGACATTGGAACAGGGGTCCTCTGAAGGAGGACCAATGGACTACTAGGTGAGTGTGGGAAAGTCGGGCAGGGGTTGTTCCACCCAACAGGAGGGAAGTGGGAAACTACTGTGGTTGGAACCAACAGTAGAAGCGGAGTGGGAGGGAACTGCTTGGATGAAGTCTGACGCAGAGCGGAACGGAGGGGACAGATGCAAGAGTGTGGGGTTTAGTTCCGATGCACGGGAAGTCGGATGAGCGGAGGAACGGGGGAATGGGGAAATGGGGGAATGGGGGAACAGAGGATCGGAGGAATGTAGGAATGGGGGAATGATGGAACGACGGAACGATGGAACGGAGGGACAACAGAACAGTGGAACCAGCGGGATGGAGGAACGGGGAAGCGGGGAAGTGGAGGATTGGAGGACAGCTGACCTAGGGAGTCAATCCCCTAGGCCGGGAAACAGGAGTTTGACTTGGGATAAGCTTTAAGTCAAAGGGCAGAAGAGCAGGGCTTAGAAAAGGTAATATTCAGACTGAGTATCTACAGACAGATGTACATATGTTTATATACTCTAAGTAATTAGCATAGCATAGCAGGAGGCTATGTGCTGAGTGTACAGGATAAGAAGATGACTGAAACATACAAGAATAAGGCTCGGAGAAAAGTATGTACGCAACGGATCAATAATTGCTAGGGTATAGGGATTACCAGGTACCCGAAAAGTGGAACTATGATACTAAATGGGGATAGGACCAGTTGAGTGGTTCCTAGTCTAGGGGTGGACCGGTGAGGCAGTCGGATGGATTAATAGTCGGGTGGGACAACACAAGCGGAACCAAAGGAACCAAACAGGTCGGAAAAGCGGAGGGAGTAGGAGTAGGGTCGGGTGGACCAATAGGGTGGAGGAGCGGAACCCCAGATAGGGTCGGATGGAAGGGGTATGGAGTTGGAGGACATAGGGGTAATGTCGGAAAAGTGGAACGGAGTCAGGCAGAGGTAGCAGGGCTAATCCTGCTGAGATGCACTTTGTGCATTGTCGGGGAAGGAGGAATGAAGCGGACGGGGAAACAGGGGGTCGGACCAGGGGTGGGGATGTTCATGGGTGGTATTGGAGGTGCTCAGATCCGGTATATGACAAGCAGGAAGTAAACCTTGTTTCAGTACGTGGTCTATCAGTTTCTTCGGAACATTTTACTGACTATGTGGTATAGTTTAGTTTACGTCACCATGCATCATGCTCACTGTATTCTGCTACCACTCGTCATGTTTTCTTTTGTCATGTTTTCTTTCACTATCACATTGCAGTCTCTGGACTCTTGTTACCATCGCACAACTGCCAGACTCTCACAATTGTACTCGTCGTTTTCATGCTGTCACACATACCTGTATTGGTTGCTCGTGTTTTCTTCATGCTCGGTTTACATGCAATGCTTGTACTATGTTACAATGATATATGCTTACCCAAAACAAACAGTCCGATAAGGTGTCAGAAGGTGCCAGCAAGTGCCAGTAGTTCAGCAAGTATACAGCATATGATGATGGATAGATCAAATCAATGAGCACATGCCAACAAATCCATCATCATGATTGACCAATGCTCTAGAAATAGGTTCCTAAGTAAGACTATATCTAGATGCTCTGGAGCTGCTGGTAGATACTGTATCATTATATAACCTTTGCTTGGTATATCTGGGTTGTGAAGTTTTGGTGATGTAAACCAGACTTGTAGTTGTCAAAGGGAAGTGGAGTGGTGGGTCTAGCTCTTCTAGTCCCCCCAATAGTATAGATGTGATCCCTCCTGTGAGTAGCCTCACAATGAAGAAAGTTGGCAATGGCTGGTTGTAAGTCAGGAAGGCCAAACTTAATGGCAGCATCATCAACAGATATATTTCTGATGGAAGGGTCATAGGCAAGGTGAAATGCTGTGTGTTCAATAATGAATGAGCACAATGGCACAGGGACCATTCCCATTTCCCTGTGCTGGAGGGTCTTGGCAATTTCAAAGTAATTGGTGATCGGACACGAATGTCCATGGTATTTGATCATTGCCAGAAGGTCTGCTGGGATATCATGATTGTCATCATCATCAAAATCAACATAGTCATCAACATTGCCATCGTCATCTGAACCCTGCTGCTTCGAGTCTGGCATATTGTTGAGCAGACTCATAGTGAGGTCAAAGTGGCGGCATTTATCAGCACGGTCAAGATGGCAACATATCTGGGGGTCATAGTTATTGTTATTGCTTGAGCAAGCAGGATCCTTGATTTCCATTATATGTGCATGCTCCGTGGTGTTGGCAGTCCATTGCAGAGGAACTCTAGTGTTCCTTATGCTCAGAACTATGGACTGCATGAGCTCTAGCTTCAGTATGTACCAGTTCTCAATGGCTCTGCCTGTCATATACCAGATCCGGGTACCTCCAATACCACCTGTGAACATCCCTGCCCCTGGTCCAACCCCCTGTTTTCCCATCCACCCCATCCCCCCTTCCCCGACAATGCACGAAGTTTATCTCAGCAGGACTAGCCCTGCTACCTCTGCCCAACCCCGTTCCACTTCTCCGACACTACCCCTATGTCCTCCGACACTATACCCTTTCCATCCGACCCTATCTGGGGTTCCGCTCCTCTGCCCTATCGGTCCGCCTGATCCTACTCCCTCCGCTTTTCTGACCCGATTGGTTCCTTCAGTTCCACTCGTGTTGCCCCACCCAACGATTAGTCCGCCCGACCACCTCACCGGTCCACTCCTAGACTAGGAACCACTCAACTGGTCCTATCCCTGTTTAGTATCATAGTTCCACTTTTCAGATCACCGGTAATCCCTATACCCTAGTGATTCTGATCCATCGCATACATACTGTTCCCGAGCCTTATTCTTGTATGTCTCAGTCATCCTATTGTAATCCTGTACACTCAGCACATAGCCTTCTGCTATGCTATGCTCATCACTTAGAGTATATAAACATATGTACATTTGTCTGTAGATACTCAGTCTGAATATTACCTTTTCTAAGCCCTGCCCTTCTGCTCCTTGAGTTAGGCTTAACCCAAGTCAACTCCTGTTTGTTGACCTAGGGGATTGACTCCCTAGGTCGGCCACTCCCCCGCTCCTCCACTCCTCCACTCCTCTGTTCTGCTGTTCTGCTGTTCTGCTGTTCTGCTGTTCTGCTGTTCTGCTGTTCCGCTGTTTCTTCTGTTCCCCCATTCCTCCATTCCTCTGTTCCTCTGCTCATCCGACTCCCCACACATCAGCTGCCTTTCCCATGCGTTGGAACTGATCCCAGCACCCTGCTACATCCATCCCCTTTGTTCTGCTCTGCTTCGGACTTTGTCCGAGCAGTCCTTTTCGCTCTGCTTCTACTGTTGGTTCCGACTGTGGTAGCCTTCAACCTCTCTCCTGTTGGGTGGAACAACCCCCGCCTGACTTTCCCGCGTTCACCTAGTAGTCCATCAGTCCTCCTTCAGAGGACCCCCATTCCAATGTCCCATTGGAACTCATAGAACTCGTGTCAGACTACATTCCAAAATTAGGGGCACATACTCAGGTAAGGGGCGCAGCACACAAGCTGAAGCCAATCCCCTCAGACTCTGCCTTACCCCTGAGCATGGTCTTAACAGGTACCGAAAGTCCATCAGAGCTCATATGGCAGTCATCACAGCGCTAGGTACTGCATCCATGCTGACCATGATGATTGAGCACTGGATGTTGCGTTGAGTGCATCCCATAACCTGTTCAAGCTTTGAAATCCTGCCATGAAAATGACGGAACCCAGTGATGGCCTGCAACACAGAGAACCAAAAATCAATCTCTGTATCACCGACTGCACAAATAAGCCACTTCACATTGTGTTGTAGAACTTGCAATGAATGAGGTGAAGAAATTTGGGAGTGAGAAAATGTGATAGATCACTGAGGAGCCAATCCAGCCAGAAAGGTATATTCACACCATTCAAATGAAACTTCTGTGCCTCACGAAAAAATGCCTCAATGTCGTTGGAATCAACTTTACTCTGTGCAATGGCCAGCTGGGAGAGTGTAGTTGCTCGTGTGCAGAGACTCATGACAGAAAGGGTCTCCAAACTGTTTGTACATGGCCATGGGGAGGTTTTCCTGCCAACAGCAGCCAGCATCATGGCCTCCAGTGTGTCAACAATATAGCTCACGAGTGGCATAAAACAGTAGTGACTGTGTCCAACAGGGTCTGACAGCATGACCCCTTCGCGAGCGGCTAGCTTGAGTGGATGTAGAACAATATTCAAGCATTCATGAATGAGGCAATCCTTGAGTACACCTTGCATGCATTTTTCTTGTAGATGAATTTTGGGACAGGGAGTAGAGCAGTAAGTACAAAGGCATTCAAAGACGACTTGAGTCATGTGGACATGCATATGCTAGCAAGGCTAACAAGAAGGGGATGTGCGACTCTGTCGCCAGTCATGGTTGATATATTTGTCTTGTCAGATGATAAGATGGTCCCAAGGAGTGTTGCACCTCTTGGTAGGGTTGACTGTCTGAAAACCAATAAGTACGACAATTCACACAGATGAAACTATGTGTATCTGCATATTCCATGCATCATCACCGGTCATCCATTCCAAATACATGCAGCACAGCCACTGCGCAGTGGTATACACCCTGCAAGGCGTGAAGTCCAGCTGATTGTGAAAGGCAGGATGGTTGAGAAGGCTCAAAATACAATCCAGGGGATCATGCCAATACAACACAACAGGTGATTTTGTGGGATGTTGTTATGGCTGTGTTGTTCTATGAACTTCTTTTCTTCTTTCCCTTGATCCACGCTGACTATGCATGACTCTTATCAATCTATATTTAGTTCAGTATGACTCAGACACCTCATTGCTTACACATGTAGCTTACTGATCATTACCTATTATTATGTAATGCCCTGTACCCTGTTTACTATATAAACCCTGGCTAGGTGACACTGATTCTTCAGCTTAACCTACGCTGGTTTTCCTCTGATCATTCTGACTTGATTCTAAGTTACCTCTTCGGTACTTAGCCTTTACTTGAACTTGGGTGTTCTTTAGACAGTTGTCTAGAACATATCGACAGACCTTTGGTCTTATTGGTTGATTGTTTGCCTGCTGTTATACTTCAGCGTAACAGATGTGCTGTAGGTATCATTTGAGACATCCAGTGTGGACCACTGGGCAACATTTTCGCTCTGCCACATAGTTCCTTGGCTGAACAGAACGACAATAGAAGGGTCTTTATCTGAACCAGACACTTTCAAAAATTGTAAATGTTATCAAAGAATTTACTCACCATCTCAAGCGAAAGAAAACTGTCTATCTTCCCCATGCTCAATCCTGAGTGAAGTAGCCATGACCCAACTTCCCAGTCTTTCCGGCTGCTGAATGGATAATATGGATTCATTGCATGGTGTTTGCTGTTCTCCTCAGAATTGAATAAATTGAGGAATGTGTAGCCCCTGCCATATGATTGAGCACAGTCAGGATATGAGTCAATAACTTCTGAGTTGCAAGTTGGCATTCCCCCATCATGAACCTGGCTCTCACTACCGCTCCCTCAAAACATCTCATCCCAATCTCCAAAACCACCAGACTCAGTGTTGGGAATATTTGGTCCATCGTCCATATTCATATTCAGTTCATCATCCATATGGGAATCATCAGACTCAGAGCACAAGCATATCAGATCCTGCAGCCACATACTGCAGCCAGAGTGAGGATGGCTCATGTGATGAGCAACAGTGACATGGTCCTTGAAACCGCCTTTGCCACACAAAGGACACTGGAATGACGACACAGCATGCACATGAGAATTCTGAGATTCAGAGGACAGTTAAACTGTAATGTTTGGAATCAATACCCATATTGGTTTTTCCAACACTCATGTCTGAGTCAAGCTGTGCACCAATCCATCTCAATATCTCTAGTGATGTACTATCAGCATCACATATGGCTCCTATGTTCCCATGATACACCAATAAGTGGCAAGCCAGCCATGTTCTGGGTGACTCTGGCAGTGGTATCACTGATTTGTACGATGTGGTCGATGCTATTGGCTCAATGGTAAGTGACTGATATCTTACTAGGCAATGCTTGTTCACATGCCTACAGACCATCAACGATGTTGACAAACTTGAAACCAACCTCATCATGGACCTCACAAGGGCCCAACATGATATATTCAATGCAGAGAAAACACTTGCTGATTGTGTCATCCGAGAACACAATGTCATGACAAATCTTTCGAAATACAAGTCCACCATTTCTAAGCAGAAGTGTTAGAGACCATGCTCGGATGGAGAAGCGGAGGGGTCAGGGCTTGGCTGTCATGAATGTTACCAACTGCATCTAAATTTCGATTATCAAACCTAAGAGACCCTATCCGATAAGATTAGATTAGATAAGATCCCTGATAAGATAAGATGGATAACTGATTAACAATCACTATCTTTACATCACATCTATACTACATCGATGTCATCCATCTATATCCGTAACCCTAGACATCCGACATCATCATATCCTTAGAAGTCCTACGATTAGGCAATGGGTTACATCATAAGCATCTACATGCCTCTATGATCAAACCATAACCGAGAGTCCTTTACAAGTCATCTCTCGAAGAGTCATCACTCCTTCACACCGCACACCTTCACTTCTCATGACATGTTAAGAGTTACCTCTGTCATTCACCGAACCCCTTACATTAGAACCTGTTGCACAGTCACAGCTAAACCCTGAACCCCTATCACAGAAGCGCCACTCATAGAGAAGCATGCTCATTTCTGAAGACCCTGGAGAACCCTAGATCCGATCATACCAATACATCTCCAGATCCCATCTCTTATCGAGATCCTTAATCACCGCTCGAGACTTCTTGTCACAGAACTCTCTCACCCTTCTTAATCTCCGCTTACCCTGAAGAGAAGCAGTACCCTGAAAACCCTGCTTAATCACCGATACCCCTATGGACCCTTTTCCCTTCCTTGTAGTTGATTGGTTGATAAGACACCCTATACCCTAGGCAGCAATGTTATGATCTTATATAGATATATCACTACCTTTCATACTCAGATATCTCCGCCTAGAGAGTAGTATATAGTTTAGGTCGTAGTCAGTAGTACTCCTTAGACTTAACCTCTTCGTTCTTACGTCATCGTAGGCCTAGACGTTCCCTCTCAATCTTATCCTTGCTTTATCCTCTCTCAGACAAGTCCTGTGGTGTGATTCAATCTCCAGACACCTACTAGTTAGGTTAAGGGACGTTGGTCATAACATTGGCTTCAGCTCTTGCGCTGCGCCCTTAGCCAAGTATGTGCCCCAAATTTGGAGCAGGTCCGACAATGTCCGACAATAGGACGGGCAGACCACTTTGGTCCACTTGGTGGGTTGGGAGGTAAGTGCTACTAGTGGTAATCCGACTAGGAGCGGAGCGGGGGAGGTGGAGGAAGTTTATTGGGATGGAGGGGAGTAAGGGGATTGATTGATGTGGTCGGAGAGGTAAGAGTGAATACTTAGAGCATGGCTCTAAGTCAGAGCAGAGGGTCAGAGGTGACAACAAGGTAAACTTGTGTCCAGAGAGGGAGCAAAGTCCTACAGAGAATTCCCACTAGTAGAGACAGTGGGAAGACAAGTAATATTAAGACTGGGGAGTAGCTAAGTACAGGATATGTTTTTATATACTTCTATGTAGGAGGCAGTGACTAGTTAGTCCTTGGTATGAGGCTATGTACCGAGCATAATTTGTAAGTAGACACAGGTGAAAAACATAAGTCAGAGCAGATATCAATATGTACACGTTGGATCAGTTAGTCGAGCAGTTATAGAAATTACCAGTGATCTGGGAAGTAAGTGTTATGTGCAAATGGGGAAAGTATATACCTAAATGGGGAAGGAGTTTTACAGTAGAGTGGGAACGATGCAGAAGGTAACTGATGAGGCAGTTGAGTGGAGCCATAGGAGCCAATGCAGGAGCCAACTGGGATGAGCGGATGGCAGACAGAGCAGAGGTGGTAGTAAAGCGGGGAAAGTATGAGGTCGGGCGGAGCAGATATTAATATTGTCAGAGCAGTTGGATCAGGTATATGACAAGAAGCTTGACAAGGCAGATGTAGGACTGGGTCATATGCGCATCACATTCAAGAAACACGGTCTTTCTCACCACCCAGCACCACACAGTTTTCATGGTAAGTAAGCCTATCATGTACACAGTATTACCAACTAACACCTTCGTATCATAGACTCATTCACATCCTGCCATCAGGTAACCATCCAGTTGGACTAATGACGAGTACCTTCTTTTGAGTTGTATCAAATAGAAACCTTGTATTTAGCAGTACTAGTACCTAGTAGTAGTAAATATAATGGACATGAAATTTTGTTTTGTCTTGACATTTGACTTGGCAGATATGCTTCAAATTGTGACTTCAAATTTCAATATTTTCTAAGTACAGCCTGAACTACTAGCACTCAAGGTATCATGACTACTAGCATTTTACTGACAAACACTGTGAGCAGCTGTACATCCTGTGAGCTCTGTCCTTCTGTGGGTTACTGTGGGGAACTATCAAAAAATGTTGATGCTTTGGGAGAAATTTACTGTGAGCTCTGTCCTGCTGTGGGTTACTGTGGGAAACTGTCAAAAATGTTGGTGTCTGTGGAGAAATTTACTGTGAGCTCTGTCCTGCTGTGGGTTACTGTGGGAAACTGTCAAAAATGTTGATGTCTGTGGAGAAATTTGGGGTTTACTGATGTGGCTGTCACAAAAACACAATTTTCATACTTTCTGTGGAGAAAATTGTAGTTTACTGATGAGGAAATGTCATGAATGTTACCAACTGCATCTAAATTTCAATTATCAAACCCTAAGTCACCTTATCCGATAAGATTAGATTAGATAGATCCCTGATAAGATAAGATGGATAACTGATTAACAATCACTATCTTTACATCACATCTATACTACATCGACGTCATCCATCTATATCCGTAACCCTAGACATACGAACTCATCACATCCTTAGAAGTCCTACGATTAGGCAACGGGTTACATCATAAGCATCTACACGCCTCTATGATCGAACCATAACCGAGAGTCCTTTACGAGCTATCTCTCGAAGAGTCATCATCCCTTCACATCGCAGACCTTCACTTCCCACACATGACATGTTAAGAGTTACCTCTGTCATTCACCGAACCCCTTACATTAGAACCTGTTGCACAGTCACAGCTAAACCCTGAACCCCTATCACAGAAGCACCGCTCATAGAGAAGCATGCTCATTACCGAAGACCCTGGAGAACCCTTAGATCCGATCGTACCCGATACATCTCCAGATCCTATCTCTTATCGAGATCCTTAATTACCGCTCGAGACTTCTAGTCACAGAACTCTCTCACACCCTTCTTCATCTCCGTCTACCCTGAATAGAAGCAGTCCCTGAGAACCCTGCTTAATTACCGATACCCTTAACCCCTATGAACCCTCTACCCTTTCCTTCTTGTAGTTGATTGGTTGATAAGACGCCCTATACCCTAGGTGCAATGTTATGACCGTATATAGTTATATCACAACCTTTCAGACTCAGATATCTCCGCTTAGAGAGTAGTATATAGTTTAGGTCGTAGTCAGTAGTACTCCTTAGACTTAACCTCCTCATTTCTACGTTATCGTAGGGCCTAGATGTTCCCTCTCAATACTATCCTCGCTTTATCCTTCTTCAGACGAGTCCTGTGGTGTGATCCATACTCCAGACACCTACTAGTTAGGTTAAGGGACGCTGGTCATAACAGGAAACAGGACATGGGAAACAAGAATGGGGAAACAGGAAATAGGAAACAGGACATGGGAAACAAGAATGGGGAAACAGGAAATAGGAAACAGGACACAGGAAACAGGAAACAGGAAACAGGAAACAGGAAACAGGAAACAGGAAACAGGAAACAGGAAACAGGAAACAGGAAACAGGAAACAGGAAACAGGAAACAGGAAACAGGAAACAGGAAACAGGAAACAGGAAACAGGAAATAGGAAATAGGAGATGGGAGATGGGAGAATTGGGGGGAAAGGCATGAGTCAATAGCAAGACACAAACAGTGAGACTGAAGTTTACCTGGGACACTGGCTTGCATCCCCCTGGCCGAAGCACGAGGCCACAGGATGGCAAGCCAGTGTCCCAGGTAAACTTCAGTCTCACTGTTTGTGCAACATCCCACAACTAAAACAAAAGTATATAATATTTTTTAAATGTAAGATGTAAAAAATTATTGATTTCACACAACTAAATAATAAGTAGTCAACCTGTGTTGAAGACACAGTGAGGCAAGGCACCGAAGGTGCCCCCCAGCAGAGCGCTCTGCTTGCTTCCTGTGCCGAAGGCACAACGAGCTTAGGCTAATAAGCACATATCGAGCAAGTCAACGCAAATAAGGACAACACAAACAAACGGATGGTATACTGAACGTGCGCCCAAGCGCAGCGGTTACATATTTGCTCCTACCGACGAACCCGAAAGCGCAATTGTAAATCCCATGTTTACTGGGATGTCGGTACAAATGGTAGCAAACGTGCATGACCAGCCCGAAGGTTCGGGTTTATGCCGTGCCTACATCACCGGGCACAAGGGTGTCTCCTACTCCAGGGCTTGCCAGTGGCTCGAAATCCAGACTTTCTCCGTGACCTCCCTCCTGCAAACGCCGCAGAGCTTGCTTATGCTTCAATCTTCCTAATCCTCTCTTGGTAATGTCCTTATCGTCTGATCTACCATCTGCAGTTGCGGTATCATCGACAGCCATCTCAGACAGGTCCTCGGTCCTGTCCTCAGCTTCTGCTTCGACATTCTTGGGAAGTGCCAAGAGATCTGAGTACAAGTCCAGAGTCTTGAGATCCACTTGAGTAGCTAGGATTCTCGTCATATTGAATCTGAAGTTGAAAAGATACAAAGATTTACCGGGCAGGGTGCAGGAGTTAAGTGCCGAGGCCAAGGGCGCAGGATGGGTTGTAGTGAACTGTTGAGAATAGCACCGTGAGTGGCTGATCGGCGAGGTAAGAGAGAAAGTAAGTGACATTATCTGATGTCCACCGTCGTACTTCGACCAAATTTGAGTCACCTCCTTTTCCCTTACCACTCCGGCTTCCTTGTGAGGACCAATCAGCATCAAGTAAAACACAAACAGACCCATCATCCCCCAGGGTGAAGTCAATGACAGGTTTATAGAATGGCTCGTGCCGTATACAAGGGTCGGGGCCGTCGTCCATTAAAAGCCAGAAGAGAGCAGTGGCCCTATCAGACATCATTAGCTGACAGAACATGCGACATGAAACACTTACCCGACTACGCTGAACACGATTCTTTGCCCAAGTGAGGCAACAGATGCCACCTTGTGCACCACAAACACGAGTTCGCTTTCCTCTGTCGACGCTTTGTCTTGACTTTCTTCTGCGTCCCTGTCGTCAACACTTGGTGTTCCTTTGAGTTTCTTTTTGCCTTTTCTTCGTCCTCTTTTTCTTCCGGTAGGCTCCACATCTTCGTCTTCATCCTTCCACTCCCTCTTCTTTTTAGGCGGCTTCACCACAATGAAGGGCTGAACAGCAGAAAATACATCAATGTTACGTAGTAGTTTCCCGCTCATCCAATCCCAAAGTTTTAACACGGAATCGCCACCACCAGAGATGAGCGTCCCGGGAGAAAATGAAGGAATGTGGATTGCAGAAACATATCTGAAGCACGTTGTATTAGCGTTCCTGAGCTCCGAAAGAGCAATGAGCCGCACTTTTGATGACCGAGGCAATAGCTCTCGATCGTGTATCCTTGTGGGTACCAGCTGACTCTGATGTGTTCATCCCTATCGGCAGTCACGATGTACTGCTCGTCAGCGGTCAGCTGAAATGTAGTCAGGAGGGAAGCGTGACCAAGAATGAGTTCCCCGCCAGAGGGGTTTTCATGAGATGCCAATGCGTCGCGCGTATACCCACTGGACGATTCGTCTGAGTTTGGGTGCAGCCGATAACTAGGGCATGACAAGTCACTGCAGAACAGTGTCTGAGGTCGAACATTCCTACCGGAATATGTCGCCGAACTTGTCTGCAACGAGTATGTCGTTGCTATGCGCAAAATTGATACATGTTGGCTTCTTCGGCATCTCTCTATGCTGCCTTCAGAACAGCAACAGGTTGGACCGTTAGAGGTACATGTACATACCTTGAGCTGAGGAGTTTTAAACCATCAACTTCCCAGGTCTTTAGTTTTTTATCATCTCCTGAAGTTGCGAGATATTTTCCGCAACTACTCAATGCGGCACAACGGATGGGTCCTGATGTGAGGACGATTTGATCTTCCTCACATTTCGCGGTTGAATGCAGAATATCGCCCGTGCTGAACAGTAGTGAGTGAAAGAATGTAAACAAGGAAAACCTGCTACCTGGTGTCAAGGACTTGTATATGAGGTCCTGCGATGACGACGGAGTGCTCCAACTGCGAAAATAAACGGGTGTAAGGGTATCGAGACATATATCGAACGTCGAAGATTATCGGTCTAGATCTAACTTGGCATGTAGAAGCATCCGAGTGCCGACGGCCCGACCGTCATCATCATACTTAATAGGCATCAGTCGAATGATTTTTTCAACTACTTGTAGACTCTGCTCGAAACCGCAACTAAAGGCGTCGTCGGTGTCAATCATGAGTACCACGATTCCGATTACTTCTCGTCCCTTGGACCTAGTCTACTTCGCCTTTTTCGTGGTGCGTCATTGACAAATTTAGGCTTCAGTTAGTATCTTACAAACTTGACGAAACTAGGTCCATATACCCGCAACACTGCTCATTGACCTGCAAGCCCTGTACCCTCCTGCATTAACACCACATTTCATACGCGCTCTCCCACAATTCTATGTGCAGATGTCGAATGACCCGTTGATTGGAAGCGTCTTGGGCTTGTTGGGAGATAGCAAGCATTTCATTTGGTTCAAAACCTTTCTTGCACTAGAAGCGTACGAGTTTTTCTGACTGAATATTGTTCTCCGTCCTAAACTGCATCCGCCCAGTCTCTTTCAACTTCCCGTATTCGTGCTCGGAGCACGCGGCCTTTGGCGAGGTGAGACATCGCAGTTTTATCTGCTCGAAACGTGAAGTTAACGGGCAATTAGATTCGCGGTCAATCTATGTACTTCTCCTCATCTATGCCGCATCTACCACCACCACGACGCTACCATGTCTGTCTGTCTTACTGACGACGCCTACAACCAGTGCGCAGACCATAGTTGACAAAGTAGTCTCTGTAACAACCTTCCAACGCGTCCTGCTGTTATCGAGCTACATTCCATTCTTCGTAATACCCTTCATTATGACCGTTGATATGGCTTTTCGCCTTTCGAAACTGATCACGATAGGGATAGACGCCGCTGATGACAAGAAGTCATCGTGATGCGGCCCAAGGTTTCCTTTCAAACTGGAAGGACCTTTTTAACCGTGCATTTTCTTTCCAAATATCACTGGCTTCGTTCCACTGTTGAGCATGAATCCAGAATAAGTGCAGATGCAGATACAATATGAGTCAGACGGACAGGTTTACCGCGGCGATCCATGGTCCTTGAATCCATGGTAGAACAGCCGCGCTCGCGAAAGCATCGTGGTGCAGGCATCAAAGCATGGTGGGCATCAAAGCGACAAAGAAGAAGCTCAGACTCCTCAGAAAATGATGAAAATGTGAGTAACTAAACTTCCGAAGCTACAAAAACTCACTGGCATGTAGGTTCACTGTTTCACATTGCAGATGTCATGTCCATATACATAGCTTCCACTATTGTTGCAACTCATTTAATACTCGTATACATTCTCTTGTACCAAAGTCGTTACACCTCTACTTGTCCTTACTGTACCTCGGCATAGGTTCGGCATCGCTTATGCATGCAGCGTCACATCGTGTCACATTCACGTGATGTTCGTCGAATCCACAAGTCCTCCTTTGAACGTTGGCCGCTTTCACTTCATGACAAAACCACATACAGGTGCTGTACAAGAAATACAAAAGAGACAACCATCGAATTTATTCTTCCGCGCGTGGTCACGAAGCAAAGGATATGTAGTAAATGTTTGGGCGTTACTCAGGTTTAATCTTTTCAAAACTTTACAGTGGTTGGTGTGTTGCGCACCCATGATCATCAAGAGGTGTTTCTTGACAGACGGGTATAGAAAATCCCGTGCTCTATCAAGTCAAATTTGATTTTGTGGTGGTGACGTTTGAAATTTGAGTATCGGAAGGAACACACATTGAGCCAACAAGGTGCCAATCGAGTTGTGGCTTATTGCCTATACAGTTTATCTAAGAATTTCCCACAATCCACCACCGCTCGTACCCAAAGATATTGGCAGTCCCGTCTAGCACTCCCCCTCCTCAAGACCCCTACTCCTCAAGATGGTGGGTGTTATCTCCGAACCATATTTTCATACTAACCAGAACCTGCTCTCCAGACCAAACGCACACGCAAAGTTGGTGTCACCGGAAAGTACGGCACTGTGCGTATACCATCTTATCCTGTTGCAGCAGGACAGGCTTTCTTAGTCGCGTTTATTGTAGCGTTATGGTGCTTCCCTGCGTAAGCAGGTGAAAAAGGTGCGATCCTTGCCCGAGGTCCATGCCATCTATTGACCTTGGATCTTCAGATGGAAATCACCCAACACGCTCGGTACACTTGCACCTTCTGCGGCAAGGTTAGTGTAGATCTTATGGGCGCATTGCGCAGCCATCCTCATTTCATCACAGGACTCCGTGAAACGTACCGCCGTTGGTATCTGGCATTGCAGCGCTTGCAAAAAGACGATCGCTGGCGGTGCATGGACAGTATCGACGACCGCCGCTGCTACCGTACGGAGGTGAGTCATTCCCATTCGCATTATTGGAGTCGAGTCTAATCATCTTCCTAGCACCGTTCGTCGTCTGCGGGAGATAACGGAGGCATAGATAAAATCTCATGGGTTCTCTTGCCATGCTTTTCCACACTTTGTTACATATATCTCGACCCAATGACTATGAGCTTCATGATACACGCTCTATGCGCCTGACGTGGTCAAAAAGTACAGGATCGTTGAATATCGAGGATTCATCAATCTTGCAAAGCAGCGAATGGTCTATGAGGAGATCGCACGACGTTCGTATTGAAAAATCAAAAAAATTGTATACATGTGCCGAAACTGATAATGTACATCAACAGAAGATGATTCTAAAATCATGTTAATGGACCGTCGTCTGAGCCATCTACTTCATTGTTGGGGCTTAAGCCCTCTTCCTCACCACTGTCATCCTCTCCTTCGTCATCATCATCATCATCATCGCTTTCTTCTTCGCTTTCATTGAACATAAGAGAAATATACTCATCCCCGAGCTGGGCGTCCTTGACCGGGACATACTGTGAACTCAAAACATTGTCAGAGCTAGTATCAGAACCAGGAGTGACAGTGGAAGAAGTAGCAGCAGCAATATCCGGAGCCAAAGGGCTTGTTGGGACTGGAGGCTTGCGGTTGCGGTTGGCGCGTATGACGTGAGGAAGCTTGCATCCCTTTGTCGAACAGATTCCCTTCTCAGCAAAGTCTGGGCACTCTCTGACATGTTGCATGTCGCAGTCGAGGCCCTTGGCACAGTAACCAAGTACTGCGAAATCCCGACACACGCCGTGTCGCTGACCCACACGAACGTGGGGGAAGGGACAGTTTTCTCGAGTGCATCGTCCGTTGTTGGCAAAATGCACGCAGAGAGGCGTCCGTTCAGGTGTCGGGTCGTGTGAGAGGCTACAGGTTTCAACAGTGCTAGAGCAGTTGCCGTGCAAGAAGTTCCAACAGATGGCAATCTTGTTGGGGTCGTGCTGGTACATGCAAGTTAGACCGCGGCTGCAAGCACCTGTTGTAGCACGAGTGTTGGACGAATGCCATGTGAATTTAGCGAGGACACTGTAAAAAAAGGATGCTGACCACGCACCTGTAGTTGTGAAGCGGGGGCAGGGTTTTTCAAGATATTTCATGCGCTTGTTCCTACGTCTAGGAGGTGTCATCAGGTTGAATATGTAGTAAAAACTTGATCGGTAGACGGACTGGTGAGGAGCTCGAGTGTTATCGAGTGTCATGTTCCGGTTTCTTGGCCGACGCTGACGACCCCGGGATGAAACCTTGGACTTGTACGCACGGCCAGTTGGGATAAGGTGCCCTGCAGTGGTCCTGGAGAAATCTACTTGTTGTGGAATCGGTCGAAGGGGAGCCTTAGGCGGGACAGATGGAGGCTTGGGTACTGTAATCAAACGGCTGGTGGTTACAAAAAATGGGACTACCCCACAACCGAAATGAGATAGGAAAAAACTCACAATCTTTGCGCACGAGAGATCGTGTTGATGATTCGAAAGTCACGCCATCGATAACAACGTCACGGGTAGACGAAGCCTGAGGTGGATGTGATGGTCTTGTGGGGGGGCGGATGTACTTGGTTGCTGGTTTCTGGTATTCTGATGGCCTATAAGATGCTGGCGGTGTATACTTTGGATTGATATATGCGTTGCTCCTCGGGTAGGTCCTGGGTCCTGGGAAAGATCCAACCGATTGCTGGGTCGTTTTGTGTTGGTTAATTGCGCCTAAATGACTTGTTAGAATTAAAGACTAGAAGAACAAAATAAAAAGACCTGTTAGTCGAGCGATTTCTTCCTTGAGTGCTGCGTCCGATGTCGAAGCCATGATGGATGTCGAAGAAGAACAGTCTCAGAAAGAGTTGGTCAGCACCAAAATGATGATTCGATGACAAACAACACGTTAACCCAATTTGAACCTTGACGCTAATCCTCCACTAGATTATACTTATATAGGTCTGACCAAGGACCACAATGACTCGATATAATAATCAACAGACTTGCAAGGTGCCGCTGCCACGGATGCGGTCATTGTTTTTATTGGGCTTGTTCGCTGCGACCTTGTGGCTGTGGATGCCCCGTGGACCCGATACGCTTTCAGCACCTGGAAATTCAGAAGGAATGGACAATGTCGACAACGTTCCGCGCACGCTATCGCTCGTTTCAAATTTCTCGGGTACACCACCCATCGAAAGCCACTCTCTGACAGTGGTACTCCCAATTCTTCCCCATCATCTTGAAGGTCTCGACGTTTTATTGTCTCCGTTTCTTGTTCCTTCCGACAATATTCGAGAAGTCATTTTGATCTGCCCACAGAACACCCTTTCAGATGCGCGACGGGTACTCAAGAAGATCCTATCATACAGTGGGACTGTTGACCACCCCAACCTTTCACTGCTACCCTATACGAGCTCTTCGTCCCACAACAGCACACTTTTAAGTTCTGCGTCTCGAGTTAGAACGGAATGGATTCTTCTTCTCGATGAGTGTGGCTTGAAAGGCCTCAGCAGTGGGCAGCGAGTTTATCTACTCAATCCACTATCAATCTCCCTACCAGTTGGACCTAATGGTTTCCTCCGATTTCCTGCCAATGCTAGCTGTATACCTGCCACTCGCGATTTCGAGTCTGCCGACTATCTCGTCCCACCTTTCGTGTCACCAACCCATCTTTTCCCACGCACTTTCCCGCATCTTGCCAATTCTGATCCTTGGCTATATTTTGGCGTCCACGTTGCGAAGACCCATCTCGAGATGATAGGAGGATTAGTTCTTCCTTCCAACATCAACGACCTCAACTACTACGAACAAAATCCTCACCCTTTATCCCTCGAAAGGACTCAGATAGAGCGCAGCCCGAAAGGAATTAGATCAGACGATCGTACGCAAAAACGGCCCTCTCACTCAGCATCAGCTTCGGGACATTTCGTTCTGGTTTTTCCTCATTTAGAAGACCTCCATGCTTTCATGCCTGTCGCCTGCAGACTCCACTCCGTTGGTCATACTCTATCGGTATTACTATACCAGGCCTCGTCGAGCGATGCCATGTATTGTTCTTCCGAGGACTGCACTCTCCATTGTTCGACGCTTTCTCATACCACCCCAACCTTCAACCATTGGCTAGAATTTCTGGATATTTTGCCCGACGTTGTCTTCGCTTTGGACGTTCAAGATTTCTTGTCCGTCACACTCACAATGGTTCTTCTGCACGAGTCCTTCCGTGAAACCACGCTAATTCGATTACCTCGAACTGACCTACCGTACTCCGACTGGATCGGCTCGCTCACACTTCGTGAACTCCGCAGTCAGTCACGGATGTCATTCTTAAATGTCATTATCTAACTGAGAGCAGACTGGAACGTACCCGAAATTACCATTAGCGTCATAACCGATCATAGGCCTCACTCCTTACAACGGTTGCTGACGTCCCTTACCAGTGCTCGGTACTTTGGAAAAAGAGTCGGACTGCGTATCAACCTGGAACAAACTGCCGACCTCGAAACTTTGAGAGTAATACAAGACTTCGAATGGCGGCATGGCGACGTCTTTGTCCATCACAGGGTCATACATGGCGGTCTCCTCCCTGCTGTCGTCGAGTCATGGTACCCAAATTCAAACTACTCTTATGGCTTGCTACTTGAAGATGACATCGAGGTGTCTCCCTTGTTCTTTGCGTGGATCAAGATGACTGTCTTGAGGTATCGGTAAGTTCACCACGAATCTCCAGTAAAGTTTTCGATGATCAATAAATTTCTTGAGGCATGGTGGACCCGAAAACATCTCGCCGTCCGTATTTGGCCATCAGCCTTTACCAGCAGAAAATGATCGAGCTCAGACCAGAAGGCCGGAGATTCTTCGACGCTATGGCGCTCTTCACCACCAATGACATTCCGAACCCTGATACACCCTACCTATCCCAGATACCCTGCAGCTGGGGCGCAGTCTACTTCCCAGAACACTGGCGCGAGTTCCACGACTACCTCTCTATCCGCCTATCCGAGTATTCCATGAAAATCCACGAAAACGTGGTCCCCGACATCCGCTCCAACAAGTGGGTCAAGTCATGGAAGAAATACTTCATCGAGCTCGTCTATCTCCGTGGCTACGTCATGCTCTATCCCAACTACGCCAACTTCACCTCGTTGTCCACCAATCACCTCGAGGTCGGCTCGCATGTCAAAGACCAGCCGGAGGACGAATACCTCCGCAAGAAAGCGTTGTTCATGCTTCCCTTGATGTCGTTGCCGAATGCGTCGGGGCTCTCTTCCCCCGGCCTGCTTGACTTGCCGAAGAAGAAACTCCCCTCCTTGTCTTCCTTGCCTGTTCTAGATCTCATGGGAAGGCTGTCTTCGGCATCAGACCTATTGGAACGAGGCACCAAACGTCGGACGGAGCTCACTGGACTGCAGCACTACCACCTCTCTGACTCACGATGCTCGTGAGCTGACGTGTCTTCAGGATTTCACTTGAACGTGGAGCATTTTATCACAGGATGGCGAGGCCACTCGCACCAATATTTTTGTTGTTGTCTATCCAGATCACTGTCCTGTAAAAACGATAGATGTAGCTATGCAGTCTCAAAGCAACGTTTCAGTTTCAGTAACATAAACTATGGCAAGAACATAACGTGAAATCGAATCAATCTCAGGTAATTAAGCAAACGAGCAGCCCATTTAGCTTGCACGAGCCACAAGCCATGAGTAATTTTATCCTTTTAACGACGCGAGGAATGATATAGTGATACATGATAATGCCGGAACCATAACCAGAATCACACTGATATCTGCGAACTGTCCAGCCCAAGCGCATGGAGGAAGAGGTTGACGTTAGCCAGCTTGGTCTGTCGCTCCTCCTCATCTGCTACCCAGCCCTTGCTGACGCTTGTCACGATGTCCAATACTTTTTCGCGCAGACTCGTGACGAGGATAGATTGTTGATCGGATGAGGCGTGGAGTGCAAGTGCGGCGAGGAATTGCCAGACGGGCTGGTCAAGTATATCTGTAGGTGGGAGGGGAGCCGCTACGGGAAGTGGTTGGGCAACAAGACGAGTCGATGGAAATAAGAGCACGAAATGGGGCATCAAAAGCTGGAATAGATGATCGAACATCGTTTGCCTGCGAACGATCGCATGTCAGGTAGATCAGTGTTTGAGCGAAAATTGCATACCACTGTTGAGCTTCCGCGGGTGTTGGTATTTCTGAGGAATCTTGTGCACTGCTCATGCCCTGTTTGACTATCTCAACTCGGCTCAAGAACAACGTTAACATGGCGATTCCAGGCTGAGTACCATGAATAAGTAACTCCGTGCATGATGAGATAAAATGCTCGTACCCGAGTCTGAGCAGAGACGACAATGTTGGTACGGTCCAAGAGTAACCCAAGCAACCCAGTAATGAGCCTCAGTTCAGCCTTTGCAACCACAGGCAAGATACTCTGCAGAACACTTCCCAAGAAAGCTTGCGTCTGTCGCTCGACATCCTGACGCTCCGGAGTTTCCTCTAGTGTGTCGAGAAGAGGGGCATGCTTGACAACGTCGAGCTGAGAGAAGCAGGCGACCAAAAGCGTAAGAAGGGTGAGCATCCTAGGCGGCGCAATGTGGCGGCTGAGTCGTGGCAGAAGCCTTTTTCCTTTGACTGGAGTAAGTAGAGAGACAAACGGATGGGGATCGCTGAGATTATACATCAATAACGAAACGGGTGTCAAATACATTGTAACCCACCTCGTTTCAAGAGGCACCATGACCTTCAAATTCGTCCATAGTTGCTCGACAAGATCATTGTATGTCGTTGACCTGGAGAATTGTCAGTGCCGTTTCATGAAACGAGATATAATAGAATACCATGCAACAAAAGCCTCCTCATCCTCCTCGTCTTCCTCTATAGGCTGATCCCGTCTGAGTTGCTCGATATTCAGGACGAGATCATAGAGCCCTTCCAACACAACAAGTGTTTGCCGTTGGGTGAGTGGGTCCTTGCGTACCACGCCGTCACTCTAGATACAACACGTAAATGGTCAACCTAAAAAGAGGGCATCAACACGCACTCCAGCAGCTTGTCCGAGCGCCTCGCGACCGAGTTTGGCAGCCTCTTGCGCGGCACCATTTCCATCTTCTTTTGAAATGTGAGGGTGGGTACCAGACATGGTAGGAGTTGCTGAAGAGGCATCAACCTGCAGAAGCTGTCGCGGCGCAGCCTTGTAGCTACGACCAGACGTTTTACCAAGAGCGCCCTGGAGGCTGTGCAAAGCTGTTGCAGCGATGAGTACCAGAGATGGAAATACAGTTCCTGGACGTACAGTGCAATCCCTTTTCCTTCTCCCTAAGCCGTGCATTGTTGACGATCCGTTCGACCTGCGCTTCCATCTTTTGCATCGCACTCTGCCTTCTGCCACTGCCCTTCTGTGCTAGTCCGAGACCGACACCGCCACTGGAGCCAAACTTGATCACGCGCTCATCCTGCGACTGGAGTCCCATTCGTGAGCGAAGAACAGCACCATAAACCTGAGCGTAAAAGTCTTCGGCGTAGGGATCCTGTGTAACGAGCTGCGAAACTTGGATACGAGTAATGAAATCCTTATCAGATTGAGTCATCAGATCATTGTAGCGAGACTGTCAATCATCATTAGCATGAGCAGTGAAGGCGGGATTAAAGGCATTACCATGTGTGCGATCTTGGCAGCCTTGCGACGGCGCCTCTCCTCCATCCGCTCAGTTTCCATGATCTTACGCATGGCCTCAGCTCGCAACGCTTCCTGCTCAGCCTGGCTGATGCCCTGCATATCTCGCAAGAATTCAACTTGTGCCATCTCTGACAAAAGTCTCTGTTGCAGCTGGATGCTCTGGGGCAGATACTGGGCGTTTTGCTGATTAAGCAGTGCATACTGAGAATCGATAGCAGGAGAATGCGCGCGACGCTGTGCGTCAGCGTAAGGAGAATGCGTGCGACGTTGTGCGTCTGCGTAAGGAGACTGCCTACGCCCGAGCAAATTCTGCGGCTGTTGTAACTGTGATAATTGCTGCGCGCGAAGCTGCCGTTCGAGTTCCTCCATACGGAGGCGCTCTTGGAGTTCTTTCAATCGCTCTTGCTGCTGACGCTCCTGCTCTTGTTGGAGGAGTATAATTTGCTGCTGGTGCTGGTGCTGCTGATTGAAGCGAGGGGATGGCACAGGAGGGAGATGGGGAACTCGCGGAGTGGACATTCGGGCTTGCTGTTGCAAGCGAAGCTGCTGTTCTTGTGCCAAAGCTCGCATGCGGTCTGCAAATAAGTGTTCCTGTTGAAGCCTCTGAAGGTCTTGCTTTTCAAGTTCTTGCCTGCGTAAGTCTTCTTTCCTGCGAAGTTCTTCCTCTCTCTGAAATTCTTGTTGCATCTGAACCTGCAGGAGCATCTCTTCTTGCTGCTTGCGCTTCTGCTGGGCGGCCCGCATTTCAGCCTCAATCTCCTGTACAGTGCGAACGCCCATTTGGGAGATACCGTGGGAGATGGGCTGCTGTTGACTGAGGGGCCGATGCTCCGCATATGCATTGAGCGCCGGGGACCTCGAGGTCGGGAACGGAGGCTTCAAACCGGAGGTCATGCGCTGATGATCTGCAGGACGGGCAAGCATGGAGAATGGTGACTTGTCGTCCCATATTGACTCAAGGGATTTAGGAGCTGGAGAAAGGCCTGTGACGAAAAATGATAAGAACCGGAAGAGATTGAGAGTATCCGAACGCATACCTCGATCACGGGACTTTGGCTCAGGTTCTGTTCGTTCAATTACAGGTGTCCACTCTCTGAGAAGCTCTGCAGTAGGAGTTGACCTGCCGAGTTTGCCTCCGATGGGCGTAGGGAGAGTCTGAGTCGTAAAATCGAAGTCTTTGCCTGGTTGCAAGTAGACATTGTCACTCTTATAGCCCTAGACAATTATCATTAAATCTCACCGACAGCACCTGTCCCGCCAAAGGTCTCGTCGTTCAGCTCATCACCGCCCTCAAGGAGCGCATCTCCTAGCCCGTCATAGCTCTCTTCACCCCAGGTGTAGACCGCAAGGTCCTCGGTTTCCCGGAGGCCTCCTTCCAAGAATTTCTTCTTTTCTCGTTCTAGATTGCTTGTTTCGAATCCAAAGAAAGACATAAGAAAGAGAAGAGCTGATGAGTCTGATTGTGAAAGTTGGAATCAAGGACTTACAAGCCCATCTCCCCGCAACAAACATGACCATACACCAGACCCCCTCATCGATCATCCCTACCTCATCTCAACGTAAATTCGTGTGCTTCTCAATGCTTCTCAAATGTGACGATGTAAAGTTTGATGGACCCTTCTTTTCAACTACTAATATTTCCTACATTTGTCACAAACGTATTCTCGTGGTCACTTAGATGACCCCATTTCATGAACTTCTTCCAAAAAGTCTAACAACGTGCTGGCGCTCCAGGCTTGGGTATTACATGAGTCGGCGCAGTATTGCCCATTCTTATTTGTCAGCTCAGGGAGGCCAGCCCACGGATCGGTCTGGATATGATGCCTAGGGGCGAGCAGAATTTTATGAAGATAGTGAAGGGTCGGAGTTGGGTCCTGCAACCAGCGCCAGTAAGCTTCATGCATTGTGATTGTCCATGACAGTCTGTACTGACCCCTTTGCCTGCACCAAATCGTGTGTCGAAGTAGAGGTAAGCGCGGAGGAAATAGCCAAGCGGCCAACCCCACTCAGGTCCCTTCAGAGCATGCACGCCGCTCAGACACGTAATATGGCACAATAATCATACAGCTTACATTATGGTAGTTCAGTCCCTTTGCAACGGAAGGATCCGTAGTGTCATTGGAGTTGTCATATTGAGGCCGATATTGCATGTCACTGGGGTCTAAGGTTTTCATTCCAAGTGGACTCCGCAGAACCTGGTCAGCGAGGCGGAGTGCGTGAATAGCATGCTGAGCATCGAACAATTCGGGCGCTACAGTCATAGCGATCGGGAAATTTGGTCTGAACTGGTAGTCGGACCATTCTCGACCTGAGCCAGAACCATACACGTCCTTGTAGATGCCCCTTCTATTGATGATAGCGGAATTTACATCATAGAGCGAGTCCTCGTCGGTATCTGTTTGAGAATAAGAACGACGTGTAATGATGAAAGTATCCAGCTTACTCAGGGGAACATAGTAGCATCTTTCGAAGGACTGCTGTATGAGATCGCCCCAGTCCTTGTAGGTAATGAAAATCTCCTGCCTATTAACTTCGAAGGATCATTCGATTGAGTGGACCAAATAGTGAGTCAGTAAAGAAGCCTTACTTTTCGCCTCCACACCCTTGAATGGGAAGCTTCCAGTACTCGACAGCATGTCGAGCCAGCGCAGCGTACTTTTCAGTAAACCGGTGATTTCGACCGGCGCGCCATCTCTCGGTGTCCCAGGAACCCCCTTCGTGCCCGCCTTCGCAGATTCGCCCATCTTATCCATCCAAGTCCCGCAATTGTGCTGATTCCCGCCGAAAATAAATCCCGTTTCCCAGTCAACTGCGATATCTATGTTGAACCCCTTATCGTTCATCTGCATGTCAAGGTTGGGGCCAGCGTTATGCTCGCGAAATGCGATCCCACTCGCGTGACGCTGGAGTATTTCTTGGATGATATCTGCAAGAGTGCTCGTGTACGCGTACGCGCGTGGATCATCCCATGCAACCCATGTATCATCTTCAGGGAATCTACGCTTCACCGACTCAGATAGGATCGACAGACCATCAGGTGCACTGGCCACATAATCTTGAATACTCTGTAACATCCACCATGGTGAATCCCTCGAATTGTACCTGACAAGGTTTCAAATAATGAAAATCATTTCGCAGAATCATCTCCTGATTCGTACCGTGGTTTCCTGACGGAGTCCAACAAATTGGGGATTAGTCCATGCTTCAAAGTCGACGCAAAAGCGAGGATATGTTTTCTCGCGCCCTCGAAATTGCCCGTAGTCAAAAACAGCCCTCTTAAAGAGATGAAGACGTCGCGGCCCCAACAACGTGCCCACCCTGTGGTGAAATGCGGCAGTCCTGCTGCCAATGATGGGGTAGATTTGACCGGATCAAGGGATGCGGATTGTACCCTTCCGTGCATCTGAATGGCGCACATAGCGAGATTCTGTGTGAAATCATGCCCTGTAAACACGAACGCAGAGCATTGTTCGATCGCTGCACGGCGAGCGGCTTTGTATGCAGTTGATATCACGATAGCAAAGTACTTTGGACGCAAATAAGCAGGAACGGAGGCTTTGATGCGTTCTGTGCGCTCTTTAAACCACTGTGCGGGCAACACAAGTTTCGGAAATTGAATTATTTGCCTGGCGACAAGTAATCAGCCAGGCCAGAGGCAAAAAAAAAACACCTACTTTTGCAGTCTTGAATAGATATAGTCGAGTGCCCAAAGACCTTGCCTGAGATTCTCGCAAAGTGGATGTCCAAGATCGTTGGACTTCATGATGTGCCGAAGAGGATGCATCCATCCCTCCAGCCCACAATACGTCAACTTGCCAAGGGCTGGAACATCATAGACGCCGATATCGCCACTCGTTGCATCCATTTCTTCACCATCTGCGCGATATAATACCACGTTCAAATCAACGAGGTCAAGGTCACCAAAGGCCTTGTCTGCATCTGAGGCGCAGAAGGAGTCCAGCTCCTCGTCTAGGTTCTGAACCTCGACCTCAAAGATGAGAATACTTCCGGGCGGGAAGTAGTCTGGAACTGTGATCCTGCAGAACGGCACAGCAACATGCGATATCTGCGGGACAACAACATTGGGCATTTCAACCAGCTTCGCGGGGAGCCCTCGGATCGTGTCGGAATCATAGGGTGTTTCATACGATGAAAACTCGGTCGAGGCGCCATATATGAATCGAGCTCTGGTACGCAACAACTCGATAGTGTTCACTGTTGATCGGGAACAAGTGAGGGTGAGACGTGTATATTATGCGACAGGACATACCGATGCCGCGGTCCTTGGAGCCCTTTGAGAATGCAGTGTGGGCAATGAGCAGATAACCCTTCTGGGATGTCGGATGCATGCGCTGAACGAGAATATACTTGTTGTCTTCAGCATCTGCACAAAGACGAACCTAGATCATATACTTACATCGCCCTCCTGCCAGTAATGGCCCTCCTCAAACCCGCCAAGAACCATTTCACGATGCAAGCCATTCAGCAGTCTCTTTGCCCTTGCAATGCCCGAGTTTTCGCCAAGCCACGTTAGCTCATATTGCCGCTTGTCTTCGACAAGATTCAGTAGTTTCGGATACAGATCGTCAAAACCTTTCACTGAGGCAACAGCACAGTAACCAAACGTCACAATGCCAGCGACGGATAGTGCATGCTCAGCAGAACGCTTGTCGAGATAAGACTCGTTGTCATGCGTGAGATCATACATGAGTGCATGAGGCACAGAGCCGTTCAAAGGGCTAACGATGCACGGACGCGTTGGACCCCTCCCGAACGGAGGATCGAGTTCTTCCATGGTTGTCAAGCATGCGCCATCCATAGATCCTAAGATGAGAACATTAGCACTCGCTACACTCTAGAACCACCTTTGCGACTTACCAAGCGGCTTCCCAAGCCCAAATCGATACATGACCCTCGAGAACTCCTTCGGATCCCAGGCGTTACCTGCTTCCCTAACCAGACTATTGATACCCAACCTCTGCACGAACAATAGATCCATCTCCTCGCTGCCCGTGAAGAGCTCGGCGCAGACGTAAAGATCCGGATTGACGACACGAGCCACATCGAGCATTGCAGCACCGACATGCGACGGTGTCGAGTGGCAATTATCGATACGAAAACCATCAAATGTTGCTGCGAGCATCCTCACGTAGGACGTCATATGTCCCCAAAGCCATGGGTTATCGTCCGGTCCCGACCCATATCGAAGCTTCACACAATCGCCCCATACAATGACCTCACGCCGGAGGTAAGCTTTTGATGGAGGAAGAGCGAAATTCTGAAGTGGGTCCGCATTCCATATCCAGCCGTTATTCGCGACACTGTATTGGGCCTGGTCAAACGGACCGAGTGGTGTCAAACGAGTGAAATAAGGCTCCACGAGAGGACAGCTACTCCCTAAATGAGCAGAGTATCGAGATAGGGTTTCAGTAGCTGACCTTGCTGAAATATCACCCAGTTTTGGCCCGTTCTCCTCCAGCCGAATGTACTTGAGGCGATTCTTGATGTGATCTAAGGCAATTTTTGTGTCCTGTTCCCACTCCTCGTACAGGGGAACATTGATCGCGTCGATCACGCGACCCCAAGCTTCCACCAGGGTATCGACATCATTTCCTATGTTTACGAACGCTGCATTGATGAGTCCCGCTGCCATCTCGCCGTCTGAACGAGCGCCATAGCGCGAGCCCAGCTCATTGAGACCTGAAACAATGGATGAGGTCTTGACAATTTCGGCCAATGCCACAACCGGTTTTCCAGCTACATCTGGGCCAGTCCATGGTATGATGTTTCCGTTCTTTATCGCGTCATTCACCACTTCTTTCTCCCGCTGAACGTCTAGGACATAGTACTGCCACATGTTCCGGGCCTCGATGAATTCGGCCAGGCTACTCATGAGCAAGTCAATATCTGTTTCAGACCGAATTCGTGTAGGAAGGCCCTTTAATGCAAGAGACGAAGAAAATTCCAGGATCGCGGTATCGAGTTCCAAAGCGGGAGTCAGATGAGGTGTGTTCGCTGGACTGTACCCTGGCAAAATGTCAGTTTTCGATTCCAGTACCTTTTTCCTTTGTTACTCACCAGCCTCTGGGTGATCTACGAGCCATGGGCTGTCGCTAGCAGTGTGATTTAACACGACATCGGTCAAGTTGAGTAGACCGTATTCCTCTTTCGCAATACGCAAAATCTTCTTGACCTGAGCACTGGCATCTGGAGTACCCGGTTCAATACTGCCCATAAAGATCGAGGGGTCATAGTGTTTCTGGTCCTTGATAGAGTATGGGCTGTCACTTGAGCCCCGTTCTTGTAGCGGTGTCCAATGCAACATGGTATAGCCACGATCACCTGCCTCAGCAAAGTGTTCTCGCCATTTGAAAATTGGGCCCATCCATTTGGAAACGACAGTAAGCATAGCCAGGCCATCAAGAGGTAAGTATACCGTCTCTGGCGAAAGAACTGCGCCGCCTTGCTCAGGAGTCAGTGGCTTCAGATCTGACGAAAGAATTGGGGATCGCGCTTTGGTGCGCAAGATCGGATCTATATTAAAGTAACCTTCTCTCCCTTTGGTACGTTCTCCAGGAACGTCACCATCATACTCGACCCAATACACGAATGCTCCTGCATGAGAAATGGGCAAGTCCACTTGAATGGGCTTCGAGAAGTTACTAGGAAGCCTATAGAATGTCTAAATTCAGCATATCTTTGAAGAAGTAAATAAGACTCACTCGCGCTCAACAAACTTGTTCCGTTCGAATATACCGCCATCCAAAGGAAAATTGGTCTTGAACACGCCATTCTTTGAAGCTGGCGTGCCTGCGTCAAGAGAGACACGTAAAATATATGGAACATATGCTGGCGGAAGGCGGATATACTACGGGCTTTCAACTTGACTGCGGCAGATCAAAGTGACACCAGTTGTACTCACAGATCGATCTTTGTTAGGCCCACCATCGGGATCCAATCTCAGCTCGTAAACGCGTATGGGCCGCTCATTTGCACGCCGCTCGCTGAGAAAATACTCCTTTCCTTCATCTGCTGGTGTCTTTGGCGTAATTGGATCATCACCGAGCGCTTGCAGCGCGTGAGATGCATTGTATGCGCTTGAATTTGTCTGCTTTAGCAGAGGAAGGGAGATGGATTGTTTCAGTGTCACTCTATCGAGTTCCTCCGCTGCCTTCGTCATAACAATGGAGCTGGTAGAGAGTACGGAAGAAATGAAAGGTGAGCGGAGGTTGATAAACCTTCTACTTATAAGGTGTTTTCATGGCAAGTGGTGAGAGTGACGTCAAGACTCGAGACCGTTCTGTGGGATTGTTATCTTGTGCCAAAATAGGACGTCCCCCTGTTGCACAAACTCTGCGATTGCAACAGGTTGATGGTAACTGAAATTATTATGTAGGTGTACTTAGAATAATCTTCTGGGGCATGAAGCGCCCCAGAAGATTATTCTGAGGTATCCTCGTAGCGTACGTCTCGAACAATCACCCCAACGTTGACCACTCCATCGACTCCACGGTGATTTGAATCGCATGAACCTTCTGGAAGCAACAGAATGGACAATAAGTACTCTTTTTCAATTCCCGGTCCGAATGGGCGCGGCCCGTGCATAGACTCATCCTGTACGATAATGAGGTCTAAATATATCAAACAGCCCCAATTTTGCGTTGGACGATGACCCAAGGGGTTGCAATCCAGGCGCATCTGATAATGTTTCTATTACTGTCATAAGGATTTGCTTCCACTGGCCCCGAAGAATTGTCATCGAGGAGTGATGTGACTGCCTTTGCAATCGACGTCGAGTTGAAAGAACTTGTGACTCCGCTCCCAGCTCATGCCTTGAATTCCATGTCCGGTCGATATTCGTTTCGTGCAGGAATGTGACATCTCAACGATTACAAGGAGGCATTCCTTAGTGTAGATCTCAAGCAGGGATGGGGGAGAGAATCCCCTAGCCACGAACCCCAGGTACAAATCCCAGAGCAGCATATGTCTGATCTTCCCGTCTCACAAGACACCATGTGAGAGGACGCCGAAAAAACGTATTTGGTGAAATGAAATCTGCTGGAGGAAACAACGCTGCCGACTGACACGTAAGAAATTGAATGGCTTCCTTGCGCCAAGCGGGCGGGTGTCAGAAAGAATCCACTGACGTCCGAATTCTATAGATCCTTGATTACGAGTCCACTGTGAATACAACGAACGTATAAGCAGGAAGATGCCGCGGTGCTTCTGCTGAACGACGCAAATACAACGTAATGCTGGGGGAATAAAAAGCAGTAGTACTGTATGGTAAAATGGTCCGATGGATGAATGACTTATCCCAAGAATAACCTGGACGCAACGGGTCTTAGATGGTGCTGAGACCAATGTCAGGGTTGGAGACGTAAAAGCAATTTAGCAAGTGGAGGAAGAAAGCGCGAATTTGGTAAAACTTATCAATACCGTCAGTGAAAGAGCGCGTATCGAACAAAGAGACCTGCACTCACATTAACCAGGTAGGATCATTTTCGCCGTTGCTGCTGCCACACTGCTAAGGGAACGTCCTCCTCCTCGCCCCGTTCTGTGCGGGGCGGAACAGGTTCTGCGTGTGCTCTTGGTCTTCTGTTGGGTGTCGTTGGCATAACGGCATGCGCGCTGGTCGCCTTCCTGGCCTTCCCATCGGTGGGGAGGGGCGGAGGAGAAGAACCCGCGATCGCAGTCGCAGATAATGAGCGTGTTGTGGTCCGTGTTGCTTGGACACGATTGGTAGCGGCGGGTGACACATTTGCAGAGTATCTGTTATGATTTTGCGCTGGTGGAGACCGCGACCGGCGGGCAGGAGCTTGCTGGGGACTAGCAGCAGTACTTGGAGCATGATTGGGAGGGGGTGAAGGGGTTAATCGCGTGCGCGGCAGGGGTGGAGCTCCCGAAGTGGATGACGAAGCCCACGACTCAGTAGACTGCATAGCGACAGGTGGAAACTGTTGTTGATCTACCGCCCCAGGCCCCGTGTATCCAGGGTACATGTAACTTGTCGATTGAGGCTGGACAATCTGAGGCGCATTCACAGGTGGATTTGACTGTCGCGGCATCCTTGGCTGCGGAGATGGTGAGCTATACCCGTAGCTGGAGCCATTGTATTGCTGCTCCATTTCCCGATGCTGCATCTCGTACTGAGGACCCTTGATTGGCATTTCGGCGACCCGTCGAGCACCTTGCGATCCGCTGGGAGGCTTTGTAAGAGCGCCTCTCCTTGGTGACTCCTTTTTCTGTGGTTGCTGCAGCTGCTGTTGCTGTTGTTGCTGTTGAATTTGAAGTTCTCTTTCGCGCTCAATCTCCCTCTCCCTCTCAAGCCGCTCATTCTCAACTCTCTGCCTCTCTTCCGCTTCTCGACGTTCATTCTCCCTCTCTACCTGATCATTGTCAGAAATAGACGCGACCGGAGTGGTAGCCGCTGGTTGATTTTGCGCCACAGGAGGAGTCGCCGCAGGGTTCTGCGTCTTGTTGATGACACCTAGATACCAAAACATCAAATTGCTGATGAGAACTTGCTCATATAACGGCCTTCGGGGGTTCGCCAGCTTGATATGACTTAGTCTATAGATCGCGCGTTCCACGTGGATAGGATATCGAGCATACGTGCCCTGCCCGCCGGGCAGTTGCGGCGATGGTGACGGAACATACTGTTTTGATGATTTTGACTGGCCAAGTAAGGCAGTAGCAGCTTCTCGCCCAGACCCGTATTGATTTGGCTGAGAAGCCTGCTCATCGGCCTTCTTTTTGCTGCTGAACAAGGACCCGAAGAACCCGCCCTCCTTTTCCACTCGCTGCACTTCCTTCTCGCGTTCCCTATCCTTGCCGTTCTTCCTTCCACCTTTGTCACTGGCCCATTTGAACAACCCCTTTCGGTCCTTCTCCTTCTTCAGCACGGGGCTCGGTACCTTCTGCGGGGCGCCGGATGCCGCTATACCTTCGGTGGATGGTGCTAAAGTGGAGGTATCTGGGGATGGCGTTCGAGACGACTCCTCTGGAGGAGGGCTCAAAGTAAGTCTCTGGGGTTGAGGATGATGCAAGACCAGCTCAGGAGTGGACACATCCACTTTAGGTTCGATTTGGGTGGGTGGTTGCTCGTCATGTGCTAGCGAGAATGACAACATCGGGGGGTTTGGCTTTAGCGATGAGTTCGAAGAGGCTTCGGCATCAGGTGCATCACAGAGGTATGCTTCGAGAATGAGTGTTTCATCTATCAGCACGTCAGTTTGCGAAGTATGCCCGTCACTTGTCATGCTTTCGTTAGAAAGCGCACGTGGTCGTCTACCTGTTTCTGTGGCATCGCCGTGATCATTTGACGAAACATGATCACTGGAGGACAGTTCACTGGAGGTACGAGGTTCGGCCTGTGTTGCAGCACGAGGCCTGCGTCCAGACCCAAATCGATGACCCCCGCCATCACCAGGTAAGGTGGTTTTGCGGATCTTGGTGCGTGCAGCTCGACGAAGGATTAGGCCGGGAGGAGGAACAATGATGGGTGCATCGGCCTCATCTGGCATGTCAGGGATATTGTCCATTTTGTCCATGGCTACAGACAAGGGCCTTGAGCGGATGCTAAGGATGACCGGAAGTTATTCTGCATACTGACCTGAAGGAGATACATTAAGGCTTAAACTTCGCCTGATCACATTCCTAAGTTTTGTAGGATCATCACTCTTTGAGGCCTCTTCTGCCAGTACTTCTAGTCTTTGTAGGTCGCTGATGGTAAGCTGTGGCGCGGTATTTGTGAGGGGTGTGCGATTGGGACGCGAAGGGACAATCTTCTCATCTTCATCCTCGACCTGGTCATTTTCTGATGGTTTGTACTGTCTGCTGAGCATTGAACGCTTGCGTCCTAAACCTGTGGAAGGGACACTCAAAGAGCTTGACCGAACAGGACCAGCGGCGCCATCTGGGGGTGGAGTACGGGAATGTTCTTTGAGAAAAGCGCTAAATTGACCAGGATCGATTTCGGGATGGAGACGAGCTGGCACCCAGAAAAGATGGAAAGGATCATCTAAGCCCGTGCTGCGGTCTTCTGAGCTAGAGCTGTCTTCGTGAGAGCCGCTGCTGGAGTCACCATCAGGTAGCTGCTGAGGCACAGTGGCAGCCCAGTAGCTGGACGTTGGCGATGTTGGAGACGATGGGTTTGGAAGATCAGGGTCAAGAATTAGAGCACCTGGTCCGCCTTGTGCGGTAGAGCGCCGCCTGATGTCTCGTAAAGCCTCGACCTCGCGCTGTATCTCCAACTGTGAAGGCTGCATGCCTGGGAGAAGCGGGCTTCAATGGGGAAAAGGAGCGTCAGTAATATCGTGCGGTCGTCGTGAACAGGGCTTGAACGTCGGGGAGGTCGATGAAGGCTAAGTGAGAGGTTGCCTTGCGGTGGTATAAAATTAACGCTGCAGGCTAACTATCCTTGCAAGCGTTTCTTGATCAACCGAACCGGCGCGGCAGCCGCGGCATCAACTGAGTTCAAACTGGCTCAAACGTGCTCAAGTCTAACTAATAGCTACAATTCAGAACAAACCATATGCTAGTCGTTACATATCAAGCCCAGTGTCTCCTCGAAGGGCGAGCTCAGTAGTACTTATGTGGCACAACTCGACCGCGATAAAAAAGACCCTGAATCCTGATGGGCCAAATCCACAGCCGGACCCGACGGCCGTCAAGTATGGGAACTTTTGCATAACACGCGCTAAATATCAGTTCATCGTACGTCAGGCTGTGTGTTCTGTGCAGCAGCAGCTTCACGACGCAGCTCCTGAATAACAGCCTGCATAGTTAATTGTCAGCCTTAAATTACCACAAGATGACTCGGAATGTCAACATACTGCCAGGGCCTCTGGGTTGACGCCACTCTCGATCATGCCCACGCATGTTGCAAGCGTCTCCTTATCAAGTTGCGTGTTAAGCAGCTGCGAGATCTCATATAGGGCTGTGGACCGCGTTCATGAGGTCGCAATACCAAGGATGTGCAACCTGGATAACGTACTATCAAGGGTCTGCTGAGCAGCGTTGATTCTATCTGCCTCTTTAGACGACATGAGGTCAACACCTGTTTCAAGAGTAATTAGTCACGCCGCTATGACCGATGAGAAATCTTGACCTACGAGCCTCGAGGTTCCTAGAAGTTCGACTTGGAAGTTGAACGTTGGGAGAGCACTCCCAAGTCCATAGCATTCCCGAAAAGGAAATACAGAATTATCTTGGTCCTGCTGCCACTAGCAGTGCCTCCTCCATGGCACCCTCAAAAGTACCCAAAAGCACCTCGAGGCCAAAGAAAGAAAAATTTTTTCACCCAGACTCGCGCAAGGCCAGTCAGCTGAGCCGGGTGCAGCTGCGAAAAGCAAAACTCGCGGAAGCAGCATCCAAGCGAACTAAGAAACAATCTGCGCAGGGTGCGTACCTCATGTTTTATTGATGTGATGCATCTTCTCATGAATTAGCCTCAGCTGATGTATACGGATTTTTCTACCATGCTATACCCCCAGAAGGCACGCTCTCCCTCGAAGAGCTACATGCTATCGTTCGTAATGTGTGGTTAACACGCTACGACGATGAGCTCGAGCAGGAGAGAGCTGCTCGCCGCAAGGGTCGACCGAAAAGTACAAAAGAGCTTAAGCTGGAGGAGATAAACCTCCGTGAATCAGAACAATATCGCACAGGGATGGGTAAGATCGAGTATCATGCTGCCTCGCTGTTGTCTGATTGTACTTGAGCAGATGTACCTGATCTTACACACGAGGTTACTGTTGAGCTCTTCCGCAAATGGGATCAGAAGGAAGTTGCTTACATCCAACTCCTGCGCTTCATCCGAATCAACAGCGTAGATTCTACGTCTGCAGTCGTATCAAAATCAGGGGAACACCATTCCCTAAAAGAATCAGTCCCCTCGCAAGCGAACGATGAAGCCATGGTCACTGATCGTGATGATACACTCCTCACTGAACCACCATCGCGGTTTGCAAGTACGATGATAATGATGGACGGTCCCCTCTCGTAGCCAAGGCGCAAGCTTAAATACCAATGTTGGCAGTATCTACCACAAATCATTTTATATATCCTACAGATCGTGCAAGTAATCTAATCGGCGTACACCAACCTCTCGCCAAACTCGTATCCTCCCATGTCTGTTTCCGTGGGGCTGAAAAGTGGACTAGTCGGTGCCATCAGCATTCGCGGAATGTCCAGCTCCCAGTTCCTTCTCAACCTGTAATGAATCGCCTGAAAGCTCGACGACGCGCCCCTCTCCTGTATCAAGTGTAGTGCGACTTGATATCCAGTAGCGATTTGCACAGGCGTCGGTCTCTGCACCTCCACGCGGAACCGCACCGACTTCATCACTGGCAAAAGTCCAGACTGGTCCTTCGGCTCATCCGTTCTACACTTGAGTATGCCTACATTTTCCGCATGCGTAAGCACCACGCGAACGCCCATGTTCACCAGCATCCGCCGGCACTCCTCGCGTGTTGTGAACGCGTCATGAGTGGACATAAGCTGGTATGTTACGGGCTTGAACCTGAACACACTATCAAGCCAACGCCGTCGCGGGGTCGAGGGAAGTGTGAATGAGCTGTCAGAAAATGCAGGTGAGACGGCGGCCGGGGTGTCGCCGCCGCTCTTCTTGCGCAGTTTGTTTGGCGTTGGCTCAATGATCTGCACACGTAGTGCAGGGCGTCTGTCACCGTCGTTGCTCCGCAGAGACGACTTTTTCATGATGCCGGGTCCACTGACGCCAAGAGATAGATTCTCCTTGTCGGCCTCCCCAAATTGGCTTCGTCGTTCACGTCTCATATCTGCGTCAGTTATGATCTCCCGGGGCGATGAATAGCCTCTGTTCTGCGCAGCGTTTCCCTTTTGACACTTCCCGAACTCCGTATTAACGGGCGTAGGTGGAGCTGAGGAGGTGCCAAGACCAAGACGGGATGTGCCTGCAGTGCGCGCCTCCATTGCGTTGAGGTGCTCCACAATTTGCTGGAAGAAATGCTGCATCTTATCATCCTTGAGTTCTGGTACTTCAATCGCGGGCAGATTTGTAGAACCGAGCGTGGGTGATAAGGGCGATGTTAAAGATGTGATATATGACGACAGGGGGGAGCGGAAATCAGCCCCTGGACGAGGCGGTGTCGGTGAACAAAGCGTTATACGAGGACCGCCCAGCTGTACATAGTCGCTATTATCCCTGTGCAGCAGGGGGAGCGTGCGACCAGCTGCCCTACGCGGAGTCGGAGGAGCTGCGCGAGGGGGAAGAAATGAAGGCGCGCGCGCCAGATATAGTGCTTGGGACGAATTCATACCCTGAGGTTCATGCGTGGTCGATTTCTTCTTGCGTCTTTTCCGGTTCGCCAACTCTTCTTCCTCATCGTAATTTTCGAGGCGTTTGTCCCTATATTCGGTGAGCAGTCGGTAGACGCCTTTCTGCCAGTTTGGCTCAGAGCTTTTGAGGCTAGCTTTGATGTTCTCCTCGGATGTGCCGTGCCAAAGCGTGCGGAGATTCGCGAGGATGTCCCCGTCAATTTCTTCGGAAGCAGAGAGAGGTCTTGCTATATCGTTGAGCCTGGGCGTGCTCGCGTCGATAGACTTTGGCTTTTGGGAAAGGTAGAATGGGTGTGTGAGTATCTCGGGGATGGTGATACGCTTTACAACGTCCTTCTGCAACATCTTCGTGATGAGATCCTTGGCCAAGGGATCGATGCCGGATGGCATGTCGAACTTTCCTGACTTGACTTTGTCCAGTAGCGTTGGTAGGTCCTCATCGTCGAAAGGAAGGCGTCCTACAAGCAAGGCAAATAGTATCACGCCACAAGACCAGATATCGGAAGCGCGTCCATTATACTCCTTCCCCATTATAACCTCCGGAGCCGCATAATGAGGGCTTCCACACGCCGTCTGAAGCAAGCCGTTTTTGGAGCTGGCCTGCCAAGCTGCCATACCAAAGTCTGCGACCTTGATGTTCTTGTTTTGGTCCATGAGAAGGTTCTCAGGCTTTAGATCTCGGTGTGCGATGTTGAGTCGATGGCAGTAGTCTATCGCGGAGATGATCTGCTGAAAATAACCCAACGCTTCGAAGGTGGATAGCCGCCCCTTGTTACACAGATAGTCAAAAAGCTCGCCACCCTCCACGTACTCCAGGATAAGATAGAGCTCGCTGGAGGTCTCCCATACGTCATAGAGGCGCATTATGTTTGGATGGTCAATGAGCTTCATGATTACGATTTCGCGCTCGATGCTGAGAAGCATGTGTTCTGCAGAATCGGCGAGCTTGCTGACAGAGTTCATGAGGATATTTTTGGACACGATCTTGACTGCGGCATATTGTCCTGTTTTCGAATGTCGTGCGATCCTCACGCGGCCTGCTTGGAGTCAGCGAAAGAGCATGTTCGCAGCAATACAGATAGATACCTGAGCTTCCCTTGCCAATAGTCCTGCCAACTTTCCATAGTCCAATCATCTTTGGGTCATCCTCGCTACGATTCCGACGCGGAAGTCTTGGATAGCCGTCGTCCTCCATAGTGGTGAGTGAGTAAAGAAGAGGGTCGGGAGGCTGACAGGAGGAAGGGCTGAGCCGATTTCTCGGAGCCGAGTGCAAAGAGGAGCCAAACAGACCCAAAGAACACGTCCTCATTAGTTTGAGTCACGGGTTTTGACTTTCTGACTGCGACCTTCACCATCCCCTGACAATAGGTTTTGTAGACAAAGTTACAACCAAGAACAACATCTATCTTTGTTTGAATATGATGCAGCATACGCCTGCACCGACGTCACCTCCAGGTTCACCAAAGCCGACTCACGATGAAGAAACTACAGTCTACCCACCTCCACCGCAAAACAATGGCAGTGCCCCCTTTTCAGTACTAGTCGGGCTATTTGAGAAATTATCGACAGAAAGAAAGCCCGAACGCAGACGCCGACTTTTGGATGTCTGGTTCAACGTATGTCTTCTTCTGTGCGAACGAAACCAATCTTGACGCGTGTGGCGCCAGCATTGGAGAGAAGACATTGGGCATGATCTTTATCCCGTTCTCCGTCTGATCCTTCCACAGGCACGTCTATTGTCGCCTTAACAAACAATGTAAGCTGAACATGTGAGCAGAAAGACCGCGAACGTGCTGTGTATGGCCTGAAGGAGAAGAACCTCGCCAAGACCTACATCAAACTTATCCCACTCGGTATAAGAGACCCAGATGCGATCCGCCTGCTTAACTGGAAGAAGCCGACAGAAAAAGATGTATGTGTATTGTATCTCGTGACTTAAACGCGTTCGTTGAGCTTTCCTCTAGAAAAGCTCTGGCGACTTCCCCACAGTTTTGTACGAGGTTGTGAGTAAGCGATCCTCCGTTGTCGAAGGAAGCCTGTCAGTCCATGACTTGAACGAAATCCTGGACGACTTGTCTAAGATCATGGGCAAGCAGTACGCGCTGGTTGATATTTGATATGCCCTCTGGCTAACGACAGAGCACAGGGACATTCAGTCCAGAATTCTTCAACGTATTTATAATCGTGCTACGGCTGAGGAACAGCGATGGATTGTGCGCATAATTTTGAAAGGTATGTTCTCTTTCATAAATGTCTCCAGTCTTGATGCCAACTTTTCAAGACATGGTCATTTCTGTGAAGGAAACTACTGTCTTTGGCGTGTTCCATCCGGATGCCCAAGATCTGTTCAACATATGTTCGGACCTGAAGAAAGTTGCTTGGGAACTATGGGATCCTTCGCGGAGGTTGAATGCCGAGGTATACATATCCTATTCATTGAGGATTTCAGAGTCTGATGTGACACAGGATAAAACCATTCAATTGTTCCGTGCGTTTGCACCGATGCTGTGCAAGAGACCAACCCATAAGATCGAGGATTCTGTGAAGGAAATGCAAGGATGTAAATTCATTATCGAAGAGAAACTTGATGGCGAGCGCATGCAGCTGCACAAGCGTGGAAATGAATATTTCTACTGTTCGAGGTAGGATCCATCGCGTGCGCCAATGGTCTAAGTTGACCCTTAATCTAGGAAAGGGAAAGATTACACTTACCTGTACGGACAACATGTCGGACAGGGTAGTTTGACGCCTTTTATCGACTCTGCGTTCGATGAGCGGATCGATGAGTGAGTTTATTTCGGCGTTTCCTCCGTTTTTCATCGAAGCTGTGTTGCAGTATCATTCTCGATGGAGAAATGCTAGTCTGGGACCCCGTTTCTGAACGTAACTTGCCATTCGGTACCTTGAAGACTGCTGCACTTGGTCGGTGTCTTCAGTTATTCAGTTGTCCAAGCGCTGATGGTACCTCTCAGACAAATCAAAGAAGGAGCACAATCCCCGACCATGCTGTATGTGCCCACTGTTTCAGTAATTACAGCACCGTTCACGTCATCCTAGTTAAGGTCTTTGACCTCCTCTATCTCAATGGCATGTCCCTCCACCAGAAGTCGCTCAAGTTCCGTAAACGCAACCTGCGCGCCTGCATCCAGGAGATTCCAGGCCGCATTGAATTCAACGTAGAGTTCGAAGGCAAGACTGCTAAAGATGTTCGGCAGAAGATGGACGAAGTCATGGCGTCAAGAGGGGAGGGCCTCGTGATCAAACATCCTGATTCTGAGTACATGTTAAACGGAAGAAACAAGGATTGGATAAAGGTCAAGCCGGAATATATGGTGAATTGGTTGAGGCACTCCGTGGCATTTACGCTCACAGTCGTTTCAGGACAACATGGGCGAGACCGTGGACGTGTTAGTAGTCGGTAAGTTCGCAAAATTCCGGAGTTTGCTTAGCATACAAGCCACATGTAGCCGGAAATTACGGCACTGGGAAGCGTTCAGGAGGTGTTTCGACACTCATCTGCGCAGTCCTCGATGATCGGCGTCCAGAAGGTGACGAAGAACCGAAGTAGGTCTTGCGATGGATGTAGCGTCTGATGTATAACCTTTCTTGGATCCCACTAGATACAGCACCTTCGTCAGAGTAGGAACGGGCTTGTCATTTGCAGACTATGTCTGGCTCCGACAGAAGCCTTGGAAAGTTTGGGATCCGAAACATCCCCCAGAATTTCTCGAAACTGCGAAGCGGACATACGAAGACAAAGGCGACTTGTATCTGGAACCTGAGGAGTATGCCCCACGCTTGTCCTGCTGGCACAGACTGACCATATGATTGCTAGTTCGTTCATACTGAAAGTTAAGGCAGCTGAGATCACAACTTCAGGTATGAGTTAATGGTTTTGAACGCGTTGTCTCACTGAGGTGCTCTGAAATAGATCAATATCATTTGGGCGTTACAATGAGATTTCCTCGAGCTTTGTCAATCCGTGATGACCTGTCCATTGCAGATTGCATAACTGCATCAGGTGCGTGCTTTCGTATTCTGTTGGTACAAAGACGGACCCGTTTCAGCTATCCTGGAGAGCATGCGCTCTGAGCGCAAAAGAAAGATGGAAAGTGATGCTGGGTGAGTGATCATTGGTTATCTAGGCAAGACTGAGGTTCATCTCTAGTAGCATGTCCAAGAAGAAGCGAAAGACAACAGCAAAGAAGGTGAGTGTCTGTGGTGTCTTCCGCATCATTATTATCCGAGTCTCTCTCAGGCAACCGTCCTGCCACAATACCAGGGACCCAATCTACGTGCGGTCGAGATTGTGTCAGATCTATTTGAGGATATGAAATTCAGTGAGTCTGGCTTACTGCCTGGTGTTCGATCAAAGACGACCTTGCTTGCAAGTGGTGTCGTCGGACCCAAAATCACAAACAGGCAACCAAGACCGTCAGGAATTGATGAAATCGTAAGAGCAACACCTCAAAATATGTGCTAAATCTGAGCGCACTGCAGGATCCGTGCCAATGGGGGTACCTGCGTGCAGGTTGTTACATCCCAACAGCCTATTACAGTCATTTATGGAGGGACGACTACGCGTCAGTAGTGATTTACATCTTTCGACTGCCTGAGGGGCTGATCGCAATCTCGCAGCCTACGACATCAAGTTGCTGATTGACAAAGGCATCGTTGACATCATCAGGCCCCAGTGGATCACGGATTGTGTACTCCGGAGGGAGCTTGTTCCTCTCCAAAAGAAGTGAGTGTCGCAGTCCCCGCTGACTCTGCAGAGGGTCACGGTCGTCACAGGTACTTCTTTCACGCAACCCCAGAACGCCAAGAATCCGACGATTATCATCAGATGGACGTTGACGAGGACCAGGTAATGACCGACAGAACTGTAGAGGAAGACGCTAGCTTGAAGGTCCCGACCACTCCAGAAAGCATCGAGCCGAAAATCGAAGATGCCGAGGAGCTCGCGGACTGGTTCAAGATCGATACCAAGCCTGCCGTACCAGAAGACAGCGAAACGGAGGCTGAATCTGATGCTGATTCGAACAATGAAGAAGAAGATGCTGACGAAGAGTGGTTCCAAGTGCCAGAAGTGCTCCGCAGTTCCACTGTTGAGCCCCTTGATGATGATGTGCGTGATTTGAGCAGATGGTCACATAACCCATGTTCATTGATTGTTTTGGCAGTCAAGTACTACGCTTCATTCACAATCAGAGGTAAGTATTCCTTCATTCACGTGTTCTCTTGTTACAACGGCATCAGGACGTGACAATGGGGGAGAACGACCAAGCGAGGGAATACGACACAACCGCAATATTCAGACATCTGTGGGTCTCATGTCTCTCAGGCTGTCTGCCAGCTCTCACCATCGGTGGTAGTTGCTTTTACCTTGACACGCCTGATAATGCACGGAAAAACGGCATGTCAGTGAAAACCAAGTTCGAAGAGGAAATCTCCACAGCGTGAGCCTTCCATTCATTGCGGTGCCTAGGGTTGTCCCCCTGAAATCAAACTTTGATATGTGAAGGTTCGACCAGATTTCAAGAAGCATTCAGGAGAATGGTGGAAAGATAGTTGCACTTGACGATCCAAAGCTCACGCATGTTGTCTTGGATAAGCGAGACGACTCGCGTCGACTGACCCTCATACAGCGTACTTCGAGGTCAGTGCTTTTACATATCCTCGTCATACATAACTCACGCGAATCTTAGACCTAAGCGACGTCGATTAGTGATATCCGATTACGTGACCGCTTGTGTAGAAGAAGAGTCGTTGCTTGATGAGGAAGGTGAGTGTGAAGTTCTAGCCGCTACTTATCAGGTCCCATGCTGAAACTTTTGCTCTCAGATTTTGCTCCGTAGTGTTTATGACTTCTATCCGTATTTCCTTGTTTCGTATTCAATGCCTGTTTCCTCAGTTTGTGCAGTGTTGCGACCAGAATTATGTGCCGATGCATGTGGAACTGGCTGAGGAACCAGGTGAGTGGCGCACAGCGATAAAAGTGTGCGCAGCCACTTGTTCAAACGTGCTGCATGATATTTTGTGTCCAAAAATTATACTTGAGATCTATGGACGACAGTTTGCACATGCTTAGTCCCTAATCGAAGGGAGACAGTCGTTCCTTCGCAGCAAACGCTCATGCTTAGCTTAGCACGTTGCAGTAGGTGCGGTGGTGATGCCGGCAATTTCCCAAAGCGATATCGGATGCCATGAGCAGCCTAATGTCATACTTCAAAGGCTTGCCATGAGCAATAATCGAGTCAATCGGTTCAGGCTTGAGTCTGGAACCTTTCGCAACGTCGTGCGCTGGCTGTCTGTCCACTATTAGAAAAGGGCTCGACATCGAGCTTGGACCTGGATCTGGCGGTCCCTTCAGGCTAGCTAGGCCAATTAGATCTTAGTGTCTGTTGAGCTTAGGGTTTACCGTTTGCGGGCGATTGTGGGGAATTGTTTGTGCTAACGACGTCCACTGGTCCACTGACTTCTCAATGTCGGGACTCACGACAGGAAGAAATGAACCCCCCAAAGCCGAGTTCTAGTCTCTTGCTGAAGAACTCCAGTCTTACATTCTGAGCTTCCTTCCTTACCGAGACATTCTTCGCTGTACATCTGTGAGCTCCAATTTACTAATCGATGCTGTTGGACTTTTTTCTTGACGATTGTCTTGCAGGTATGTAAGGCCTTTCGCCAGACGTACATATCAACCTCCGAGCTTCAGTACATCGTTGAACTCGGCGGTCAGCAACTGGTTCTTGTCCCCAACGCTGATCTCGACAACCATACTTCTGTTTTCTAGCGCCTACAACTTTTGAGAGACAAAGTTCATGCATGGTTCAAGCTTGATGTCCACTCTTTCGAAACAGTCTCTATACCACCAGCCCATAGTGAAATGTGGGTTGCCAATTGGCATCTCTGCCTCTGGGAGCGACACGAAGACTTGACCATGATCTTCCCAATATTACCAAAGCCCTCACAATACAGCATCGAGCATGATCGATCTCCAACATCGTTTCATTCAGACCCCAATGCACGCAGCTTTAGTCTCTTCATGGACCCAGTGCAACACTTGATTGCCATCGCGTATATTACTGTCGAGGATCATCCCCAGTGGGGCGACGAGAGGATTCATATAGACCTTGGGGCCCTGGATGGAGGTGGTATCCACCCCAAAGCCGCAGGACGGACAGTGTTTTTATCGGAGCTGCCTGGAATCGAGAACGGTAACGCTTCGACATACTTGGGGGATATGAAACTCAAGGTTTTCGGAAGACATCGCTTTGTGGCGCTCCCTGGAGCTTGCTTGTGACTGTATCATATGGGGGTTGCAGATTTGGGACTGGTGATACTCAACAACGTCCACTGTGAGCCTCGGTCATAAATAGTTGAAAGACTTGCTGACACTCGATTTACAGTGTCCTGGCTGATGATGTAAACCCAGCATTTGACGAGGCAATCGATTTTTGTTTCCTCGGAAACGATAGATTGCTGATTTTCAGCGATAACACAAAGCTCTATTCGATTGAGGATATGTCCCAGGCATCGCAATTACTGGCGTGCTTCTTGTTGCCTGTCTCAGTGACGAGGATACATGGCATGCAGTCGGTGGATGGCGTTGCACATGGCTCGCGGTCCCAGATGCAAGCTCAACAAACGATATGGACCTCGGACCCTAACAATCAAATATTATCGGTTGTCACATTCTCTCCGAGTCTCGTCTTCATCATTTCCACCAGAATTTTCTTCACTCTCGATTTCTTCGAAGGAATGACAGCGGCAATACCATAGGAACACTGGGGCCCTTTAAATGCTCGTCTGTTCCAGTCCCAATGTCAGGGCGTTGGCGTTAGTGGGAATCATGTTTTACTTCCATTTACCGCAGATGGCACAGCAAACCCCTGATTGGACCAGGACAGGACGTTCGGATTTTGGGCGTCCGACAGGGCATGAATTGATAATGACAGGATTTATTTCGTGTGTTCTTCCCATTTTTCAAGTGAGTGCGGCTCACTGATTTTCATCTAGTATCATAGATCGAATCAGCTCGAGGTCATTGAGATTGCGCCAAGGGAACAGAGGTGACAAAGCCACAACATCGTCGGACTAATAGTACAGATCACAGATTGCTGTATGATGTGTGTGTGTAAATAATGTGAGTGGAAGGTGTTATTGAAACTGGCCATTGACCCTAGTCTCCCCTAGGCAGACTAATGGAAGGAAGTCAGTCGTTCCTTCTATAAAGTCAAAAGGTGGCGGATAGCCTTTCCACGAAACACTTCGTCGTCGTCATCGTCCCGCCTGCAACTTCCGGTCTTGAGTCGTGTCAGTTGTGACTCAACCCAGACCTCGAAAACTATCCTGTCTGACTGCTTCTGTTGAATTATTCCCTACATCGATTGGGCACAGTAGCAGGGGGTTCTCCTGGGTTCTCTACCCGAGATGCTGCGGCAGGCCACATAGGAATCGTCGCATGGTAAAATGACATCGAACCAAAGGGTTGACTCAGATCTTTAGATTCCATCTTTCTGATACCGATATTTCTGGACAGACTCGCGATGTTGTCAACTTGCTCCTCCACATCCACGACGATTCCAATTTATGATCCTGCCGTATGAAAATCGCACAATCGGTTGTCATCCTTTGCTACTATATACATTGAGCCAGCTGTTTCTGCGCAGCTGAGACGCAAGGCGGAGCTTCCTACTAGGTCTTGTATCACTTATACAGTCGACGACCAAACTTTGTTGCACACAACGAGCTTCATCATAGGCCGAATCGCTGTGAACGATGATCCTCACTCCCCACGGCATACCACGCTGCCACCACGACTTTACGCAAAATGGTTGTAAATTCCCTCCGGTCCTATTTGCGGATTTTAAGCTTTACGATGGATTGCATGTAGGCGTTGCTTATTATAGGCGACGATACTCACAGATCAGATATCTAAGTTAAGCCCTCGGTTTCCATCATGTCAAGAATCCTAGTAGCCTCCACGCAGATATAAGGACGGAGTCCATGGGGATACCTTTATCATTGTCCTCTTCCTCCCGATCTATTCCCCGGGCTAATCTGCGATGGCGCAACCCAATATCCCCTTGGACACTGCGTCAGTTATCTCGACCGTGCTAGAGGGGATACTGTACGGTAAACAGAGGCATCGAACTCGAACTTGTGGACATTTCTAACGCATCAGGATTAGGGTTCTCCGTGCTCATGTTTATAGGAACCTTATGGGCCCTGGTTCAACGAAACATGAGTGGTGCCGTCAAGCGCAGGATGATCGTCATAGCATACTCATTGCTCTTATTTAGTACTGCGGTAAGCAATCTCTGAGTAGACACCGGAAGCCACTAATGAAACAAATGAACATCTAGCATATTATAATTGACATCATCCGGACAGAAGAAGGTCTGGTACAGCAGCGGGACACGTTTCCCGGTGGCCCCGTCGCATTTTTCGCCGACGTCGCACAATGGAGTTTCGTTTACAAGAACTTGCTGTATACGTTGCAGACATTGGTCGGGGATGGTGTCGTGGTGAGTTCATTGTTAGGATATGACTCTTCTTTATCTCACATCGTCTTCCAGATTTACCGGTGTTATGTGGTCTGGCAATCTTGGTATATCACTATCATTCCAGGTTTACTGTGGCTCTCTGTCGCAGGCACGTCCATGTCTGTCCCACTATATCATTCCTCTTACCTGCAGACCAGGCACCGGGATAGGAAGCGTCTTCTCAATCTCACGAGCGACAGTGAACAAAGAGAACATTTTTGCACCAGGTACCGGACCATGGATCACCTCATTCCTTGGTGCAACTCTGCTCGCGAACCTCGTGAGCACATGTAAGTTTCTGAGAACATCATTAGGACAGCTGCTGACGGATACATAGCCCTGCTCGCCTATCGAATTTGGAGCATAGGGAGGCGGGTGTCGAATACGGCTTCGGGGACAGGCGTCCTACGGCCTGTTCTACGCATCGTACTTGACGCCGGCGTCTTATACTCGATATCACTCCTGGCTGCCCTTATATGCTTCGTCACCAAAAACCACGGACACTACATCCTGTTAGACATGGTACGCATCTCATACTCACCCAGAACCGCGCTCACACCAGTATCCAGATCATGCCTATCATCTCTATCACCTTCTTCATGGTTATAATCCGCATTAGTCTCAACGCAAGCTCCTCCCCCAGCGAAGAGCGGCTAGAGCCCTCTGAAAGCGTATTCAGCACGTTCATCACCCGACATGGCCGCACCGCCTATGATGACCAGGAGCAGCACCCAATGAAGAGAATGGAGGTTCACATCACTCAACTGACCGAGCATGATGAATTCGGCCCTGCCAAAATACGTCCGCGCAGCGACGACAACTCGCCATGCATGTCTTCCTCAGCGAAGTATGATACGGCTTTTGCTGTCTAGGTTGCGTTCCTTGATATCCGATTATGATACGACACGAGGAAACTCATCTGACCTTGAATTTCTATTCGTCATACTATTCTACTGGCGACAGATCATAGTGAATGAGGATGCAATTCTTCATATATGGAGCCGATAGCAACTCGACGTGTTCCCTCTCCCTATAAGCAGCTTGATACAGCGCTTGCTGTCTTGATTACTCACGTTCCTTGATGGCTGATTTATCATACAATGTACGAGAGGACTCATCTTACCTTGATTTCGATTCGTCATATTATCCTACTGGCGACTGATCATAGTGAATGAAGATGCAACTCTTCATATATGGAGTCGATAGCAAGTCGACGTGTTCCCCCTAGATTTACTGTCCAACATACTCACATACCTCGATTGCTGAATATGATACCACACGAGGGAACTGGTCTTTCCTTTCATTTCTATTCGTCATATGTATTCTACTAGGAGATCATAGTAAATGGAGATGCAACTCTTCGTAAGTAAAACACTCGAGAGAGAGACAACAAATAACACGACGACCACGACCAAGAGCCCAGCAAACAGCAACAGCAATTGCAAATCGTCAAAGTGAAAAACGATAGATACAGAGTAGAACGAAAACGTCCAAAACCTCAGGCCTCAGCACTCATAACAATAGTAATACAACTTGTATCATGAAAACAAGATCGAGATCAGAACGAAAAATCAAAACCAAAACCAAAATTCAAACAACACAACGCATCACATCACCTATCACTGTCAGAACCACCGAGACCATTTCCCCGGACTCGGCATATTCGGACTCTCGTACAACAACCCGCGTCGGCTCTCAAACAATCCAACAGGACTCTCTTGCATCCCTTTCGCACCAAGCCGCGCAAGCTCTTCATCTAAAATCGCCCCTGGATCATGCGGATCGAATATCGACCTCGATCCAGGTGTACGGAATGGCGACTCCGCAGAGCTATGCGTAGGGAAGACCAGTTTCTTTGGCGTTACAGGCGGGAACAATACAGATGTATCTTTATGGTTATGGTTATGGTGGTGTCCATGTGCGTGCGTGTTGCGCTTGCGAGACGGCGTACGGATATTCTCGGTATCAAATACAGCGGGGTTGATCCCGTCGTCGGGGCGGAAGGTGATGGAGGGGGGTGGATCGAGGTTGAATTTGTAGTGCGCGAGGCTTGCGGAGGGGCTCATGTGCAGGCCTTTATGAGACAGGGGTGTGCGGATGGGGGAAAGTTGTACGGTACTGCTGCCACCCCTGCGAGGAGGTGTTGAAGGACGTGGAGGGGGCGTCATGGGTCGTTGTGATGTAGAAGTTGGGAATACGCGTGGAGGGCAATCCTTAGCAGGTGGTTTGCCTTTCTTAGACTTTCCGCGACGGTCAAGAGTGGGAGATACAGGCACGGGAGGAAGTCCGACAGATTTCTGCACAAACGCAGTCTACAATTAGGCAAAACACGGGATAAAAGGGATGTGCTCACCTTCGGAGGAGTTTTAGGAGGTGGTAAACTTGCCTTCGTCTTGCGTTTGTCTAAAAGAGCAATTCCACACTCTAGTGGAGGGGTTGACTCGATGTGAGGGCTCATCCCGCCATCGAGGTTCAAAAAGAGGTGATCCTCAGAGGACAACTGGGGACTGGAAGAACTTTTACTTGGCGTAAGGGCGGGTAGGGAGGAGGGAGGGATCGGCGATGTCTGCGCCACATCGGAACTTTTGACAGCAGATGAAGGAGGCAATGATGATGATGAGCCAGCACGAGCATAACTTGATGACGATGGTAAAGGAGGGAAGATGACATCAACAGGCATCTGTACACAGTTTTGGTAATATGGTTGATGATGAGCAGAACTACGAGGAGGAAAGAGAGGGAGGAGTTGCGAGTATGGCACAAGGGTTGGCAGAGTTGAGCCTGTCAATGCAGGCAATGCTTCCTGTACAGGCGAGCTTGTCGAGGGTTCGGTAGGTACAGGTGCGGCACCTTTTTTCTGCCGTTTCGTTCTGCGACCGGATGCTGATTCTTCCGCTGCGCGTTTTTTGGGAGCAGTTTTCTTGTTAGCTTCCTTAATTTCCGCACAAAATTCTTTCCTGAAACCACCACCAGCGAAACACTCGAGATCGCAGTCCCAAATAGCCCAGAGTGTGCGCCCGACACTACGATCGCGGGGAACTTTTCGGAAGCATACGGTTGTACTGAGGACATGACGAATAGAGTTCATCCAGGTCATTTCGCTTCGGTTGTAATAAGGATAAACGATCGTAATCCAATCGTAAAGTTCCTGCAAGGTGAGGCGGTGCTCTGGGGACGAAAGCACTGCCTGGCCGATAAGAGCTGCATAGGAGAGGTCTGGTTTCTTTGTGGAATATGGACCCGGGGGAAGGGTATATGGAAGATTCTCGTAATCATCTTCATCTGGGAGGGGACCCATGGGACCCGGTGACGATACGAGGTTGACGATACGCTTATTAGAAGGCGTCGCGAAGGGAGAAGATTGAGGTGGAGATGAAGAAGGTAGAGGCGACTTATAATAGGCATTGCGGCGGGGAGTGATAAAATTTGCATTTGAAGATTCTGCAGCACTTGTATGAGGTTGGTCGAAGATTGAGGAAGAACGGTGGCGCGTGGGAGTTGGTGAGAGATCCCGGGGGGTGTAAGAACCCTTGAGGCGAATTTGTAGCCATTGTGATTGCCTGAAATTAATGAACACACCTTCTTGAGACGTGAGGGGTGCTCTACGGTATCATAGTCTCTATAATACTTGCGGTGTTGAGGGGTGACAGGAAGGAGAGGGGGTTCATCCTCGTGGTTGTCCTTCAGGGTACGTAAGCAACAAGAGCGAAACCGCGCGTGCGATTTAGAGAGGGTACACACCAGTGAGGTTATGCTGGTAGAGGAATCAGATTGCTCCAAGGATGGGACGCGTCGTGAATCGCGTGATTGCATGAACGCGTCGAGACTGAAAGCGGCGCTTGCGGGGGATGGTGAAGGTGGGTTGCGGTCCTTTTCCTTCTTTCCTCGCTTATCGCGCTTTATTTTTCGGCTCCTTCTCTCGAGGATCATTTCCATGCTATCCATATGACGGAGGGGGATGGCGGGTTCTACTGGCTCTGATTTGACAGGCGTGGAAGGGGGAGGAGTCTGAGAAGCGGTAGACGCGTTTTGACGCGAATTTGAACTGGAATGGGAACAGGAGCGAGAGTTTCCGAGTACAGAAGTAATACTCTGTTGTGCATCTGAGGACTCTACAGAAAAAGCGCGAAGAGACTTCGCGTCTTGAGTAGTCAAAAATTGACGCATTTGGTCGCTATGACGGGTGAGATCATGGCGGGTCAAACCAATTTTCTGCAAGAGGTTAGATATCGGGGAGATAGGTTTCGCAGGTTCATCCGCCATATTAGCGGTTTAGAAAAAGAAAGGAAAGTATAGAGGATAATGGCACGTAAAGAGTACTATAGGAGGATTTTGAATGTGAGATTAACTAGTTACAAGAACGTTTAAAACTCCGACTTGGTAGTTCTTTTCAGTGTTCACATGTACAGGGGCGTGGTCAGCCTCATGTCCTCCTCCAATATTTAAATGACATCATGTGAAACATCCATCAGTGGATGTTCCACAATATCCGTCCGCGTATAAAATGCCGACCTTTGATTCAACTTCAACTTCCACTCCAACCACAGGTATTCAATGGCACGACGCCAAACCACGAATTTGGTACGATCGAAAAAGTCTCGAGCATGCGACCTAGACTGTATTCGACCTGGCATTTACGACGGCTGACCTTGGACCCCTCTCTTGGAGTTCTCCCGAGTAACCAATGAGCTTTCGCATGTCGATCTCATAGTCGATCTCCGATTCTCGAGGCTCGGTTTTGACGATCTCGTTTACTCTGTGTTCCTGTGGAATCCGATCACAAAGCCTCTTCCGGTCTCTTCCCGAAGGTCCAGCTACGATTGACTCCCTCCATCCGAAGGTTTACCCTACTGAGAACTGAGGCGAGCACAGACTTGTGATGTTGTCCTTTACCCGATGTTTCTTGGCATTCCGGACACCTCCTTTTCGAGCTCTGATCGACTTCCTCTCTCAAGTCTTGCTAACTTGGCCAACCGGATTATTTCGATCAAACTTTTACTCGCTCATTCTTTCGATGGACTTTGCTCGCGGGCCACGATGGCTTTCACCCTCCCACAAGATGTTCATCTCACAATCGATCTCTTTTGAAGATCTCCTTTACTGTTTCTTTGGATCACCTCTCTTGTGGTCCCTTCGAGCCCCGATCGGCTTCTTAGTCTCGTTCCCAACAAACACTCGGCTGACGGGATTCCTTCAATTGAACCGATCTCATTAACCGTTTCTTTGAATCCTACCACCTCTCTTGCTGTCTCTTCGAGCTCTTATTGACTTCCTGGTCTCGCTTTGAAGACTCACTCGACTGACGGGTCCTTCAGTCGAACTTACACGTAATCTCTTCTCGGCTGACGGGCTTCCTTCGATCAAACTTATCTCTTTGGACGATCTCATTTACTGTCTTTCTTTGGATCCGACAACCTCTCTGAGACTCTCATGCCAGCCCTTCGAGCTCCGATTGGCTTTCTGATCTCGCTTTGAACACTCCCTCGGCTGTTGGGCTCTTCGACTGAACTTATACCCGATCTCTTTTGACAATCTCATTTACTGTTTCTTTGGGTCCGACCACCTCTCTTGCGTTCCCTTTGACCTCCGATTGGCTTTCTGGTATTTCTATAATACTCACTCGGCTGACCGGTTCCTTCGATCGAACTTATTTTGACGATCTCTTTTACTGTTGCTTTGGATCCAACTACCTCTCTCGCGGTCCCTTCGAGCTTCGATTGCCCTCCTAGTTTCGCTTTGAACACTCACTCGGCTGACGGGTTTCCTCAAACTTATATCCGATCTCTTTGGAAGATCTCATTTACTGTTTCTTTGGATCCGATCCCCTCTCTTATCCCCTCTTGCGGTCCCTGCAAGCTCCGATTGGCTTCAAAGTCTCGCTTTGAACACTCACTCGGCTAATGGGTCCTTCGATCGAACGTAGACTTATCCCTGTTTCGAAGGACCTCGCTTGTATGCCACGACGCGACGACTTGAATTCCGATGACTTGAATTCGATTTTTCTGCGGCTGACAGGTTACCGGCTACCTTCGATCGAACTTATACTTGTCTCCGACGACTTGATCCTTCCCCAAGATGCTTACGCTCGAGTTAACCGACTGAAATTCACACTTTATTCCTCCTCCGATGGATGCCTCTGCAACGTCTACAGTCGAAGCGCAATTTTCAACGGTCACCACTCCTTCAATCGTTTTTTGGGGCCAGTCACGTTTTCGACGTTTGGACCCTAGGCTGCTTTCCATCAGGGCTCCTCCGATCTCGAATCATCTTGCGCATGTCACCTAATGCGAATTTCAAGAGCGACGATGAACGTGGAACACAGCCTTTAAGCCTAGTACGGTGTCATACCCCTACCCTGGCCTCCGGTTTATCTCGTTCTTTGCTATGGTCCTTTAAAGCGGTATGCGAGCGCATTTGGCTGGAACACAACGTAATTAAATCTTCACCTCGTGTTTCAAGTTAGACTTTAACACACATCAGGCCACCTTGTACCGCTCTCCGCGTCATCCGTCATGAATTTCCTGGCCTTAACAATCACTTTATCTCCAAAGCCAAAAATCTTCTCCTCGATCGAAACCACGGCATTCTACTAGCAGCAATAACTCTTAGGATCGAAATGCGCCAAACCGAGGATGTCTAAATGAATTCTGGAATGTACGTGCTTTCTCGTGCTATCAAAGGCTAAACCTTCCTGCTACACCCTCCACAGCGAAATCTCTCCCGATTCCTCCCTACCATTGCAGTCTGCTGCATCATGCACCACTGCAGGACCACGTGAGTCTGTTCTGCGTCTTTCCTTTACATAATTCTGATCGGCAGTTGGAAGTATGTTAGTTAGCGCTGCGAGGGGCAGCACGAAGCTGCTTGTCTTTTAGGTGGTTGAACACAGTGGTTGCTTCATTGGTACAGCAGCTGTTACAGAGGGACTCCCAAGTATGTTGCCGATTTTCTGCCAATATTAGAGCTCATGTGTGAACATCAAGTGTCTTGGAGGAATTCGAGTAGTGGGCATGAATGTAGTTTTTGTGACCAACCAAATCCACATCCACCAGATCGCTCCTCAAGGTGCCTCGGGTAAAAGCCGACAACCGTGGTATTGCGTTCTAGGCCAGACATGATGCACGAGATCTGAGATACAGCCTGCCTTATAGGGGTTTCGTTTTACTTATGACGCAGCTATTAGGGGAAGTTATAAGGAGCTAACCATAGTTCGGACGAGTATAACTTGCCGTTCTTGTTACTACAACATGCCATCTGAGTCGTCCCCCAGGGTGTGCTACGGTTATGCACAGACCGGCAGCTGTCGATTCGGCTCCCAGTGCAAGTTTGCACATGTCGAAGGGGTCAACAATAATGTAGGTCAACAGAGTCGCCCCTAATTTCGCGGATAGGCTAAAGCTTCGCTTCTCTAGAACAACAGGAAGCGCAGGACCAGGCATAAACGACCCCAGACACGTACACAGACACCTCTAGACCAATTTTTCGCAAAATATCCCCAGTTTGAATATGACTCATCCGAGTCAGCTTCATTGGAGTTTTACCGGATGTGCGACGAGTTTGACTGGGATAGGGACGATGAAGAGAGAGAGGAAGCCTCTCGCTATTTCAAGGACGCCATTGTTCACCAGTTCAACCACATCTACGGCACAGATGCAGACAATCTCACCTCATGGCATACTCTATGTCAGATCGTCCAAGTTTCGCCAGTTCCTGACACCCTCGAATCATGCCGCGAGGTACAATCTCAACTGATCTCCGTCTGTGTTATACTGAAAAACGCGTTTGCATTCTAGGCAGTCAAAGCCACTTATGTCAATATTGTGGACTTGATTGATACAGGTGTAACCGAGGGGGCAGTAACGGTATTCGTCTCGGAGGTGGAACTGAGCGAGTACACGAAGAGGACGGGAAAAATCTTTCCAAGAGACAATGTACACGCCGGTGGTCTCTTGAAGTACCTACTCCGCCGCATCATGAACCCCAGACCAGAACGCGTGTCTGGCCGGAAGACGCAGAGCAGGCGCAAGCGTTAACTCCTTCACGATTTTTATATTCTTCCACATATAGGTGTCCTTGTAAGCTTTAAGTTGACTGTTGTGAACGAGCATATTTCGTGCATGTTCTCGCAATGGTAAACGACTATTAGATACTTGGGCTTCTGACGTATGAGTTTATATCTCGCACGTGCGGCTATAGGAGGCTTATTAACTGAACGGAGGTCGCACTAACTTCTATCCAGGCAATATGTTGCTCCTAAAAGCTACCACGCCGAGATAGCAAGTCAATCAGCCTCGGTTGACTTTGTACTCTTGACAGCGTCGTGCTTAGTTGTTCGTATGCGGATGGATCAGACAAAGGTCGAGAATTGTAAGTGTGAAGGAACTCTGACAGGAGTGCAGGAATATGTGGGTTTACAAGTATCGAAAGTGACTCACCACATTGCCCCCATCCGGGACCGCAATGCAAAAATTTCGCTATTTCCTCTTCATTACTATTTCCTCTTCATCAGCGTGAATTGTAATTCAAGTGCATAGTGTTTGAGAAGAATCGTGAATCATTGACCGCAAATGAATTTGCGAGATCAATCACGCAGCACCTGGGTCATGGCAATTTAGGTCTTGAATGATGTGATATTCACTTGATTGCTCGGCGGTCCAGAAAATGTATCTATTCCATGGTGGATTGTGTTCGCAGACGGTCGACCAATAATTGACATGAATCCCTCATGAACTCTGTAGTAAGTTCATCACTATTCGCGTGTAACCATGTGGTTAGCGCAGTCCGCCACTAATCAAACTCGACACATGAATAGAGATGTCAGGAGAATCAGAGGAACAGATTGCACGTACATCCTTATATCGAGGCTCTGCGCCTGTGTGATGACTTTGGCGATTGGGAATACCAAGTACGCCACATTACAGTGTCAGTGACTCTTTTCTTTAGATATGACTGTCTATGGAACGGCAAGACAGTGAGTGTAAGCGGTGGAAACCAAGCTAAAGGCTATATAGTTTCATTACCTCGTGTGTTTTCTTCAAGGAAAAATCTCGCCACCGGATGAAACAGAATAACTTGGGAGTGCAAGCTCGCGCAGCAATCATGACAGTTACCAAAGGTGCGACGCTGGAAAAAAGTAACATAGAATGTGTGCCACTAGGAACGACCCCACTAGTAAGCCATGCTCTACTGCCCTATTTTTGGCGGACAGAGAGAATGTATTAATCGCAAAATTACATTGAGTAGACGTTTTGGCTTGTGGGCGACACTACAACTTGACGGGAAGTGCAAAGAAAGTACGAAAAAGCCTTCTAGGAAGCCTTCATCTTAATGGGTTGTCCAGATTGCAAACTGTGGCATAGCAGGACTGGTAGAAATTCTGGGACCTTGGTTAAATGACGCCTGAGCAGTGAGAAGACTCGATTGACCTGTTTCCGATTAATTCAGAGAGCGGGTAATAGAAATGGTTATGTCACTGTTCACAAACCCGCCTCTCTTACTGGGACATTAGTCATTCCGGAACTTTGGTAGTGCTCAAGGTACTCTACAAGTCGTAAAATGGGAAGACACGGCTGTAATGGTGTAGCCTGTGCTGGGAGGACCAGGAAAATGCGCGTCGCACCAAGTCACATTGATGTACAGAAGCAACCCGATTTTGAAGACTTCAAGTTGAAGCTTGAAGCGTGGGAACTTCCCATACACATCGGTGTTCTGTACGTGTTGAAATTCATTGAACTTGAACTTGAAGTAACTTGACTCTACAAACTACAGGCTACATGTACAGCCAACGTGTTTCGCTTCCCGTTTGCACCAAGAATGTACAGTCTATTTCACGATTGAAGGGCACAATACTAATTGTCACTGTTCAGAATTGGGAATTTTTCTGAGTGAGATTTTGTAGGACTCGGCAACACATCTGGATTCTCTATCAGCCCAAGCCCGAACTAATGATCGCCAGATGGGCGCTCCCCTACACCTGTGTGCAGTTCATGATAATAGGTGGACTTGTCCTCACTGACGTCATACGTCATAAAACGGCTTCAGTTAACATCGAAATGACCTCATCAGAGGCTCACTACAGTTGTGAAACATCCGCTTCCACCGTCGTGTGGATTCACTGTGGAATATTGCGGATGTTCCACAATTGCCTTCGATGTCCACCAGCATATGTAGGGCAGTTGTTTGATTTAACCTTCGCTTCTCTCTACTTCCACTTCCTTCACCCGCATTGGCCTTCAACTTAATATAACCCTTGTGTATTCGATGGCACGACGCCAAACCACGAACTTGGTACGATTTAACAGATCTCGAGTATGCGATTACCTGCACTTGCTTGCACGACTGGATTCGACCAAGAGGACCATCTTACTGTCGGGTGTTGTCCTTTTGACCCCTCTTTTCCTCGACTGGATGCTCCCGCCTCACCAACGACCTTTCCCGTGTCAATCTTATAGTCAATCTCTGATTATTGATATTATATTTTGACGATCTCGGTTTCTTTTTCTTTCTTTGGAATCTGATCGCAAAGGCTCTTCCGGTTCATTCGAGCTACAATTGACTTCCTCCACTTGACCACGGGTCACAATCGAGCGAACCTATACCCATTCCTTCTATCAATGGACCTCGCTCCTGTGCAGCGATGATTTTGACCTGCTTTTGTCCATGGGATCAACGCTGTTACATTGTGTGCCGTTTCCTATCTGCCCATTCAATGTTCGTGATCTATTCAATCTTGGTTTCACCCTCAATCTCCGCTTCCGAATCATCCTTGGCATCTGAAGGTTTCCTCCACAAACTGAGGCGACTATGGCCATTTGCCTTCTTCTCGAGATGTTGGTTTCGATCACGTTTACCCAACGTTTTTTGGACCCCCGTCAACGATCCTTTTCGAGCTATGGTTAAACTCCCCTCTTAAGTTCTGCTAACTTAGCCAACGGGTTATTTTCGATCGCAATTTTCCTCAATCAATCATTCGTTCAATGGAATTTGCTCATGGATGACAATGGCTTTGACCCGCCCCAAGATATTCATGTCCATCCCACAGTCGATCTCTTGTACTTTTTCCTTGGACCCAATCACCACCTCTTGATGTCCTTTCGAGCTCCAATTGGCTTTCTGGTCTTGCCTTGAACACTCACTCGGCTGACAGGCTTCCCTCCATTGAACTTACACCCAATCTCTTTTGACGATCTCACTTGCTGTTTATCTGGATCCAACCACCTCGCAGTCCATTCGAACCCCGACTGGCTTCAGTTGGCTTCCTGGTCTCTCTTCGAACTATCACCTGCCTGATGGGTCCTGCGATTGAACTTAAACCCGATCTCTTTTGACAATCTCATTCACCGTTTCTTTGGATTTGACCCGCCCCTTCGATGTTCCATTGGCTTCTGAGTCTCGCTTTTTTGATTACTCGCTCGGTTGACGGGCCCTTCAATCGAACGTAGACTCATCCCTGGTTTTGATCAACCTTGCTTCTATGTGACGATGACTGCATCCTTCCCTAGGATGCCTATGCTCTATTTTTCTGGATGTTACCCGATTGAACATCGCACTTAAATTTGGCCTGAAAATGGCCATGTCCATTTCACAATCGATCTCCGCTTCTCGATTGTCTCGAAAGCCAAAAGTCATTTTAGCAATCGAAATCTACCAGCAACAACCCTTACCACCCAAATGTGCCAAACCGACGAGAATTGTCTAAATGAATTCTGGAATGTACGTACTTTCTCGTGCTAGCAAAGGTCAGACCTCCCTGCTAACCTTCAATAGTCAAATCTCTCTCGATTCCTCCCTACCATTCGCAGTCTGCTGCATTGCGCATCCCTGCAGAACCCCATCAGTCTGTCCTGCGTCTTTCCTGTACACAACTCCCTTGACAGCATTCACAACGCAAAGGAGCTTGCGCAGCTGTTCCAGCTCTTTACAAGATTGGAATGCCAAGAAACAAGCTCCTCAACTTGATAAAATCATCAGCCTCTGTCGGACGGGCGGCGAAACCAAATTCATTGCAGCGAGAACACAGTCTTTCCTTGCCCAATGCTTTGGTTAGTTGCATTGTGCCTCTGAATTGATTCTAACGCACCCCCTCATATGCGATTGAACTAAAGATGAAACAACTCGCATACATTCACGATCCAATAAAAAAGATCCTTGCTATGTTCAAAGAAGTGAGTCTTGCCCTCCCAATATCCCACGCATTCTAATTTGTATCCCAGCAACAATCATTGTCATTGCTGCGTTGAGGATCCTAACAGTTATGTCCAACAAAGGTCAGCCCCAACATAGGTTCATTGAAATCATGCCATTCTGGTATTTCGTGTTCAGGGAACATCCTGCAGGATAATATGTCTGGAATGAGAGGGACGAGTGGATATGCGCTGCTGGTGCTGGCATTGGCTATGCCAATTAGGGAGTTGGAGGCAGGGTGCTGCCAGCGGCAGCACGAAGTGGTTTGTGTCGGTCTTTTAGGTGCTTGAACACCTTGGTTGCTTCATTGGTTCAGCAGCTGTTACAGAGGGACGTTAAGTGTACAAATATTGCCAATCTTCTGCCAGTATTAGAGCTCGTACTATGTGAACATCAAGTGTCTTGGAGGAATTCGAGTACAGAGGGCACAGATATAGTTGTTGTGGCCAGCCACTAATTAACTGCCTTATAGGGGTATGTGTATGAGAGTATCCTTCAAGCGTTACGTTTAAAGGAGACCGCTTAAACGCTTTTCATACAACTTGTAGTTCGTTACTACCACATGCCATCTGAGTCACCCCCCAAGGTGTGCAACAGTTATGCACAGACCGGTAGTTGTCGATTCGGCTCCCAGTGCAAGTTTGCACATGTCGAAAGGGTCAGTGTTACCAGCAATGTAGGTCAACATGATCGCCTCCAATTTCGCAGATAGGCTAAGGCATCGTCTATCTAGAACAACAAAAAGCGCAGGCGTGTCGAAAGGGTCAATGTCACCAATAATGTAGGTCGATGTGGTCACCTCCAATTTCGCAGATAGGCTAATGCATCATCTATCTAGAACAACAAAAAGCGCAAGACCAACTTACCGACCAAGCGCTCTGGTACACAAACACCCCTAGACAATTTCTTCGCAAAATATCCCGAGTTTGAATACAACTCATCCGCGTCAGCCTCATTGGAGTTTAACAGGATGCGTGACGAGCATAGCTGGGACGACGAAGAGAGAGAGAAAGCCTACCATGATTTCAAGGACGCCATTGTTCACCAATTCAACCACTTCTATGGCACAGACGCGGACAATCTCACCTCATGGCGCACTTTGTGTCAGATCGTCCAAGTTTCGCCAATTCCTGACACCCTCGAATCATGCCGCGAGGTAGAAGCTCAACTAATCTCTGTCTGTTGTTATACTGACACACGCGGCTACGTTTTAGGCGGTCAAAGCCACTCACGTCAACATTGTGGACTTGATTGACGCAGGGGTAACCGAGGGACCAGTGAGGGTATTCGTCTCGGAGGTGGCACTGAGCGAATACACTAAGACGACGAGGAAATTCTTTCCAAGGGACAATGTACACGCCGGTGGTCTCTTGAAGTACCTGCTCCGCCGTATCATGAACCCCAGACCAGAACGCCGTGTGTCCGAGTCTGGTCGGAAGAAGCAGAGCAGGCGTAAACGTTGACTACTTCATGATTGTTTTACGTTCTTGTACATGTAGGTGTCGTTGTAAGCTTCCAGTTGACTTTTATGAATGAGTATTTCGTGCAGTTTCTCAGACATTAGCAATGGCACTGACGACTTGTAGACGCATAGAATTCCAACTACCACACTGAGTTTCGCCCCTATTTGAAAAGTAAATCGCTTACTTTGAGTCTTTGAAGAGCTTTCAGTACCGAGAGCCATGACGGCAGACACCCGAACAGCTATCGAGATATTTCTATTGTTTGGCGAAGTACGAATTCGCTCAGTAGATGCGACCAGGTCTTGACTGTTCACCGACTAGCGCTCTTTGGCACTGCCTCCACATCTATTTCCTTTTCCGTCTGTGAAATCGCATACTTACACAGTGACTTCACATCGCGACCAAGTACTCTATACGCTTTACCTCTCTTTCTTACACTTTGACCAACGCCACCGCCACACCCCCATGCACACCCCTACACTTCATCCTAAGTCCACTGTTGCCACTTGCGCTTTGACAGCGCTTTGGCATTAGCCTCATCGTATATAAGCTCGCATGTACTTATCGTATCCTCAGTCAATCGATTCCCCAGTGATCTGCATATACAGCAGTCAAAATACTCTATCTATTGAACCTCAGTTGGTCTTCCCTTACTCTTGTCCTCGCTGACGCCACCCTTCGTAGAATGTCTCTGACTTATCAGTCAAGATTGAAATGACCTCATTCTACATCCGTCGCACGCGTGTGGAATAGTTCGGATGTTTCACAATTGCCCTCGATGAGATCCGGGTATAAAAAGTCATCATTTGACTTGACCTTCTCTTCTCTTTACTTCCTCTTGCTTCACTCGCCTCGACCTCCAACTTCATAACCTTTTCGATGGGACACCCCCAAACCGTTGGTACGATCTGACCAACATGCACTATGCGACTATCAACTGGACTTGCTCTCACGACTTTGGACCTGGATTCGAGCGAGTGGACCGTTTCACTCCCCAGCGAGCCTTTACGATTGCTATCTCTTTTGTTCGTCTTTGAATCGACTGGATTCTCCCGCCTAACCTATGACAACTTATGACCTCATCCATGTCGATCTCCTGGTCGATCTCTGCTTCTCGAGACACTATTTTACCGATCCCGTTTTCCCGCGTTTCTTTGGAATTCGACGGTCACTAGGCTCTTACCCACCCTCAAGTGACAAGACGCACATGCTCGACTCACCTGTACGTCCTTTGCCGATATCTTTCCCCTACCGAACATCGCACATCAACTCGATCCGAGATTTCGAGCGTTCACAGGGCTGATTCCCTCATCCGATGGACTGCAAGGTGGCATCTCTAACCTGCCCCTTATTTTATCGCGATTGTCAGTGCCTTTGATCGATCGAACCTTGTGACGTTTGGACCCTAGGCTACTTTCTGCCCCGATCTCGAAGCCTTTCACGACCAGTTCTATCACCGTACTTTGTGCCGACATCGAGTTGGTTGGAACATTCCCTGCTGTAATGCTCTGTCCTGATTTACGAACAGTTGTCCAGCCGAACACACCTCCCAATGTCTCGAAAGGATTATCATGGCTTGCCCTGGTTTCTACGAATGGCCTTCAAGCATGCTTTTTGCACCCACTCGTATGAAGAGGTCCCTGCTACGAGAGCCAAGAATTCCACCTTGGACCAATGATGAACACACATAGATCACTTTGCCGAAATTGAGTACCCTCGTTCCCTGACCTCCAGTTCATCTTTTTTTCTGTAGTTCTTCGTACTGGTATGCGAGCGCGTTTGACCGGGACATCAAGCATGATCAACCTGCGCCGACGTATTACCACGGAGTCTATCTACGAATACGAAGGAAATCACGATCGTCTATTCGCCGAACAAAACTCTGGAGTCGCCAATCTTGAGACGATCGGTCGCATCTTCTACTTCGACTCGCATGTGGCTGTTTTCTCTCACCAGCTACAATGGCCCCCGATCAAACCAGAACATTGTACCCGTCGAATTCGACCAAGGTATTTGTCACCCTCAATACTGGCTGACTTCGACTACACGATAGATCTTCGTCAAACGCAAGGAGTTTCAACGTCATTGTGAGTATTTTGTGCACTCAGGTTATGACTGGACTTTCCTGACGTCGAGTCCCGGCAGTCTACTCTCATATTTCGCAGGTGAGTCGGCAAGTTCATTCTCAGCGTTAGATCCTCGCTTGCTAAATTCAGGTTCAAGGCTCGAGAGGGATCCTCGTTGGTCCGAGTACATCGCAAACCTGGAAAGCCACCTTCGAGTTGTCAAAGTCTGCTTGTAAGTCATCAACCTCTCGATCGATTCCTGATAAAACTTGTAGCTGGTGATCACTCATATTTCATTTCTGGAGCGCATATACTAATCTTCATTTCCAGCCTTCTCTGTCGCAGCAGAAGAACATCTTTTGGGGTAGCCGTGGTGGTCTTGGTTCCCTTTGGACTGTTCAGTTCTCACACAGACCTCACAGAGCTATGGTTTTGATGCATGCGTCAACAAAGACAAGGTACGTCGGTCAGTGGGAATAACTAGGATGTTATTGCCACTTGTCCGACGTATGTTGGCTTGTTATTCTAAGCTCCACAAATGAAAGAGATCGATACCAACTTGCCTCGCGGAAGAAATTGTACAATTGATCGCACGCCGGAGCACTGAGCTCAAAGGATTGACATTTAGCCAGCTCAGAGCGAGGCACATTTCATACCGCTGCTATTTCATTTGTGTGGTCAAAGAAAGCAAGAAGGTTGAACACATGCTGCGATGATACATAGCGCGTTGATGCTTCGTTCATGGAATCACGTTGGAAGTCACGTCACAGAAGTCACGTCACATATCGTGACCTCCCAATATTGTATTGACCTCACTTCTAGCGAGCGCGCAGCCATGGTGTACCATAATCTCAAGGGTAAGTAGTGCTGACTTCCGGTTTGAAACTCTCGACTGAAGCCCCCAGATAGCCCTGATCAAAGGAATAAGGGCCTGCAAGGTAGATCTTTCAAATCCAAGGTCTTAAAGCCAGCTCAGACCCTTGCAGACGGTCGCGGACGAACGGGCTCTCATCCAGCAAGAATCAGCTGCTATTCGAGCATCGTTCAGGGAGGAAGATGTGTACGCGCGACATAACAACATTGCAAAGCTGCTGTACATCCACATGCTGGGGTCGCCCGCCCACTTTGGTCAAATAGAATGTCTGAAGCTGGTCGCGAGCCCCCGATTCACGGATAAACGCCTTGGATATTTGGGTATCATGTTGCTCTTGGACGAAAATCAAGAGGTCCTCACTCTCGTAACAAATTCGTTGAAGAAGTACGTGTCACAAGTCATGATCCGCCACCTCTGAGTTTACTCCATGTCCTCGCAGTGATATGAACCACTCAAATATGTATGTCGTTGGGTTGGGACTTTGCACGTTCGCAAACATTGCTTCGGAAGAAATGTCGCGGGATTTGGCAAATGAGATAGAGAAGCTTCTGGGCTCAAGTAACACTTACATTCGCAAAAAGGTGCGCCGTACTCCTTATTCGCATCGTGGCTAAGTTTTAAGACTGGAACATAATTCAGGCTGCCTTATGTGCTCTTCGCGTCATCAAGAAGGTTCCTGAACTCACCGATCACTTCATCTCGAAAGCCAAAAATCTCCTCACTGATCGAAACCACGGCGTGCTATTAACAGCAATAACCCTTACCACCGAGATGTGTCAAATTGACGAGAATTGTCTGAATGAATTCCGGAATGTAAGTGTTTCCTCTTCGTGCTGGCAAGCTTGTCATCATAGATTATCCACGTGTTCACAGGCTGTACCGCTACTGGTGCGGAACTTGAAGGCCCTGGTCACCACTGGATACAGCCCCTGAGCACGACGTCTCTGGTATCACAGATCCATTCTTGCAAGTCAAAGTCCTGCGATTGCTTCGTTTACTTGGCAAGGGCGATAGCCCGTGCTAGCGAGACCATGAACGATATCCTGGCGCAGGTTGCAACCAACACTGATTCGACCAAGAACGTTGGGAATTCAATATTATATGAAACTGTCCTGACGGTCCTTGAGATCGAAGCAGATTCTGGTCTGCGCGTCATGGCTATTAACATCCTAGGTAAATTCTTGGGTAACAAGGACAATAATATTCGGTCAGTTACAATTGCTCTCTGAAAGGATCTTTACTCACTTCGCCCAGCTATGTTGCCTTGAACACATTGAACAAGGTGGTGGGAATGGACACAAACGCAGTTCAACGGCACAGGAATATCATTCTAGATTGTCTGCGGGACGGCGATATATCCATCCGACGGCGTGCTCTCGAATTGTCCTACGCGCTGATTAACGAGCAGAACGTGCGGATACTCATTCGCGAGCTGCTTGCTTTCCTTGAGGTAGCGGACGACGAGTTCAAGCTCGGCATGACAACGCAGATATCGCTCGCTGCTGAGCGATTTGCTCCAAACAAACGGTGGCATATCGACACAGCGCTTAGGGTGCTCAAATTGGTGAGTGGGTTCTCAACGTCAAGGGATCTGTTCACTAACGTTCATGGCAGGCTGGAAACTTTGTTCGCGAGGAGATCTTGTCTGCTTTTATACGTCTTGTTGCTCATACCCCAGAGCTGCAAGCATACACTGCGTCCAAGTTGTATACTGCGCTCCAGGATGACATCTCACAAGAGTCACTAACACTGGCTGCTCTGTGGATCGTCGGTGAATATGGCGATCTACTCTTCGAAGGTGGCGTCGTGGATGATGAACAGCCCAAGCACGTCAGTAACGAATCTCGTGTCTGGAATCGACAACTGATCACTTGCTTCTCTTAGATTACCGACAAGGATCTCTTTGATCTACTCCTCACCACCCTCGACTCGCCCTACGCCAATTCCCTTACCCGTCAATTCCTTATGGCAAGTATTACCAAGTTGGCCTCCAGACAGACAACAAGCTCGCCACAACAACAGCGAATTGCCGAAGTTCTTGCCAAGTACACCACCAGCCCAGAGTTGGAACTACAACAACGCGCTGTTGAATTCGCAAGTTTGTTCACCTTGGGCGATTTAAGCAGCGGCGTCCTAGAACGGATGCCACCTCCAGAGCTCAAAGCTACTGTGATGGGCATCGGTGTGTAGATACCACTTGACTTGCGAGGCTGTTCTGACATTTCCCCAGTCAGCGAAAATAAGCCCGTTGGGTCTACGCAAAGCGGGAAGGACGTCCGATCTTCTTGGCGATGAGGTGGCACCGCCGACGCCTGTTGTAAATGGTCAGGCCACGCCCAACAACCAGGACCTCCTCGCAGAGATCTTCGGCAGTAGTCCCGCCGCTCCATCCCCGACACCTGGTCGCACGCCCTCCATTTCACCGCAACCCCAGAAGAGCAGCGTCCAAGATATTCTTGGTCTGTTTGACTCCTCCCCTTCCCCAGCCTCGCCTGCGCCTGCTCCTTCCCCTGCCCCATCTGCTTTCGCCGCCTTCTCTCCACAACCACAAAGCCAGGCTCCTCCCCGACCTTCTCCGCAACAACAGCAACCACCTGCGCCACGGCTAACTTCTTATACCGCCTACGATAAGCATGAGCTCAAGATCACCCTTACACCTCAGACCTTCAGCTGCGCGACCAGGTGTCGTCAATATCATGGCTCGCTTCCAAGTTTCCGGCTCGAACACGGTCACTGGACTCAACTTTCAGGCTGCAGTTCCAAAGGTGAGAAATAAGAGCACATCAACCTTGTTGCGATCCAACTGAGCTGGTTCACAGTCACAACAACTGCAGATGCTTCCCATGTCAAATCCGGATGTCCAGCCAGGTGCCACAGAAACCCAACAGATGCGCGTGATTGCGCCGCCTGGTGTATGTATCCCTTTTTGCTCAATGTTAAAACCCCTTTCTGATTTTCTACAAAAGTCAAATGTACGGCTACGGTTACGTGTATCATATACCCTTGCTGGTCAAGCAGTCCAGGACCAGATAGATTTCTCAGGGTTTCCGCCAGGGTTAACAGGTAGCGGTTAGCTCTTGTGATCAGGATGTACGGTATTCACTATCTAAGTTGTCGTACCTACTACATAACGAAAGTATTTGGAACACACTTGATCAACTGCAACACATAGACAAAATAAATATGACACCGGCTATCATTGACCTTTATCACCGCAAGAACAAGAGGCGACACCTTGGATACAAACGAATTCAGCTCAGTCTTAATCGCGCCGGAAACATGGGTTGCTCACTACGCCGAACGTCCTGAGACCACGCCAACTGTTGAATCGCCAAGGGATCTTTACAGTACACGCGTGAGATCAAGCATTTAACGAGGGAGCGTGCACGTACCATCCCTAAGCCACACGTCTACTGGAGGAGGTTGTCTCTTATCAACAGGGGGATCTCTCAGCAATTCTAAAGTCTTGAGTCGAGGACAACGTTTGATGATAGCAGTGGCGATGTTTCTTTCGGCCTGTGATCCCTCGAGGTCCCGCTGCACTCCCCAGTGGATATGTTCTAGCGCCGGGAACAATGCCACCCATCCAGCTAGTGCAGCAGTGAAACTGGGCGAGGGCAACTCGTTATTTTGCCCCTTCCAGATAATCGTGAGGGACGCAATGGGCGGCATTGCCCTCTCTGGATCTCCGTTCCTTTGGGATAGCAGCCAAGACGTGTGTTCCGTCTTGATTGCTATTGAGGTCACGTAAACTTTGTCTCTGGCCACCATCGCGTCGAGACAGTTATTCAAAGATGAGATGTAGCCATCCGCATCTGGATCGCTGACGGTTATATGTTTCAGAACTTTGAAGCTAGGGTAAAGGCGGAGGATGTGCCCGATGTCAATTTGGAAATCCAGCGAGTGTCCTCAGTTTGGGAAGGGAATTGAGGGTGAGTACCGATCCGTCATAAGTTTCATTATCCTTTAAGGAGAGGCCTTTCGTAGGTCAGTGAGGTGAGTCCGTTGTGACGTCGCAGAAACTGTGTCAAACATTGGAGCGACAGCGAATTGGAGGAAATAACAAATTCTCGAAGATGGCGAAGGCGGAGCATTGATAGGATATGAGTCCACTTCGGCGCATTGCGAAAGCGAAGGTCAAGGGTTAACGAGGTGATGGAAGAATCATTTAGTGTACGAATGGTCCATGTGCTCATAAATGGTGCGAAGAAGTAGTCTGTTGAGAGAGTGATCGTTTTCAGTGTATTGAGGGAGGGCGTTATTGTGATCCAGTAAGCCTCATCACGACGAAACACCTTTCTACAGAACCTGATAACACTCTGCGGGATAATAAGCGATCGGTATTAGGGAGAAGAAGGGGGAGAAGACAGTAAACTTACATCCACGGTGCTGACCACGCCTTCTAAACGTAAAGTGCGAGTCAGATCTGTGACTCTTGGAACCCATGCTCTATCTGTATGTCCGCCAGTTATGACCATGTCTTCGCACCCCTTCTGCTTGATGACGATCATTAGATCTATGAGTCCGAAAATGACATCTCTCGTGTATGGCTCCATCCCACGCCCAAAGCATAAGTGGAGATTGCGGAAAGGCTCCAACTTAGCAATGAAGCGTATAAGATATGCCAGTTGATTGATATTATTGACAGTGCAGCAGACAGAATGACACTTCTTCACCCAGAGTGCCAACAATAGCCCGCGTAATGCAGTTATAGATGGCTGGGAGATATTGGCAGGTGCATTCGTAGGAGCATTGACGCCTGCGAACCGATCAAAGTAGGCAGTAAGTGCAGCAAAATGAAACTGTTTTGAGACCCTGCAAAGTACGAGGAGTTCGTTATTTGCCAAGTTCCTTGATATAAGGCATAGGAGCTCGCTCGGAAGGTCAGAAAGACAGTACATCGTTGCGGTTGCGGTTGCGAACATAGCCGCACAGCTGCAGACGGCAGCAATGCATCACAGCCACAACACGGTCTCCTGTGTCATCCAAGCACCGCACGCATTTTGGACGGCTTCCAACGAAAAGCTGGACGTCAAGTAGCTTCTCAGACTATTGTAAGACCATTGTCATCTTTTGATATATCTAGTCACACCACAAACGCCTCGGGAGGATGGATCCAACACCGATCGCAATACAAACCATTCCAGCCATTAACCAATACACCATATTTCCACCGAGGAGTTGCTTCTCGATACTTAGTGAGTAAGCAGAATTCGCCAGCGCTGGCCCAACAGCGCGTGTGACGGATACCACAGTCTGCGCAAGCCCATTTGTTGCACCGATTGACGCTCGGTTTGGCGCAGATGCATTGATGTACATGAATACGACACCTGTGCGAGTAACTTGAGCATTCGTCCTGATCAGACTGACGGTCATGCGCACCATAGGCGGAATATGAGATTACAAAGGCGAGGAGCTGCAAGCCCACCAGGAGGTAAACGAAGTAGCTCAGTCCCTGTGCTTTGGCTGTGGAACTGATGACCGGGAACAGTGCAAGCATCGGGAAGCAACTGAAGACAGAGAAGAGATACAGATTTCTTCCTCCTAGCCATTCGTGCAACCGCACAAAGAATAAGGCTTGGAGCACTCCGTTCAGAATACCAAGCACCGCCAGAATTATGCCAATGGCTGGAGTATCCAGTCCAAGGCCACCCATTTCAATAGGTGTAGCATAAAATACTGGTTGGACAGCACGAAACGAGATTTCGACCAGAGCGATGGCAGCGTAAGCGCAGGTTGCGATGACCACCCGTGTCACCAGCAAATCGCGAAACGGCAATGGCTTAACTTCTGGTGCGAAGTCACAATCCGATAGCATGGTCCGTGAAGCAGTTGTTTCGCTCTTTTGCAACCCGAGAAATAGAGCCAGACTAGTGCTAGGTTTTGTGCTCTGTGGAGATGGTCAGTTTCCAAGTCAACTGCTCGGGCGGTTTGACAAACCTCGCGGAGAAATAAGAATGTAACGCACCACCATACAATCGCTAATGTTCCTATCACGGCACAAGGAAGGAAATAGGGATACGCCCTTAAGAATTCAAATCTCTCAAAAAGTTCCGGATACCGGACTGTTGGGTGTGCTAGAGGTCCGCCAAGAAGAGGCCTGTAAAGTCAAGCTTTCAATAGATCAATGGTTCGTATGGAGCAGCCATGAAGACCCACCCCAGAGCGATACCAGTCTGCCAAGCAAACGGAATATATCCATACGCCCGAGGCATGTTTGTGGAGTCCGTGATATCTGCGATCATGCTCTTCATGACTACCACGTTCCCATTGAGCGCACCACACAGACAACGGCTTGTATTTTCAATAAGAATCGATTACGAATGATAGGTCTTGCATACCTTAAGATGACACTCCAAAAGGTTCTTGAGAGTCCAAAAGAGTACATAGAAATAGAGACGCCCGTGAGACCAATCAATAAAATCGGCTTACGGCCGACAACGTCAGAAAGACGGCTCCAATGAAAAGTGGTTAATGCCTCAGTTGCAAAGAAAAGTGATTGCTGCATGTATCAGACATTCGTCAATAAGTTTATCAAAGATGATGAGCGTAGTGGCATTGTGTACCAGCAGGCCAACATAAAATCCGACAAGGGCTTCTTCGCCATTGGTAACTCCAATGTCACGTATGAGCTGGGCGTCTTTCTGTCATCGATCACTTTTATGCAATGCAACCAGGTCCTGACCTGTGGTGCAAACGGCGAGATGACCTGCGAAGTCATTGGTTCTAGGACTTGAAGTGACAGTATAATAGAAAACTGTCGCCACGGGAGAGGTGTGATGCCTATCACTGCCGCCTTGGGTCGGGGTTCCACATACTCACTAACACGCAGCAGAGGAGTCTCTTCGTCAGCGGTTTCATGGGACATAGTTGCTGTGTTCCAAAGTTCGCATTTGACATTGTAGCTTAAGTACAAGTACTTCCCTGGTTCTGACACTCGTGGGGATAATGGAGTATAAAGTAACCATACCGTGGATGTCGCTGCGCCCTGCCAATTGGAAAAAGTGGCACTCTTCGGTTGAAGATCCCGGGTTCGGAAGTGTTCCTCAGGCGCCACAAAAAGCATTTGAACCATCAAAAGAGGTCAACAGACTTGACTGGGACCCCGGTGCCCTGGAGAGCGAGAGCCTGTGTTCAAGATAGGACGGTTAGCTTCTATGTTCCCACCAAAATCGGACCTGCTGACCAGTTAGCGATTGAAATCGCATCCGCCAAACAAAGGTGCCCTCTTTGTTCTCAGTTAGCCGTACATGCAGCGAGGCAACAAGACACCTACGCATCACAAAATATACCGGATCCCCCAAGATACTGAGGATGCGGAGTTGACTGTAGCCGGTCCAACGGCATGCACATAAACGATCATCTGTTGAACGCAATGCCTGCCATAACTTGAACAACATCAGGAACTTTATTAGTGAGGGAATGATGACAACAAACTATATGCGAAACGCGCGCCGCTCAGAAGAGAAGAGTAATGTGTAATCCCACTAGATAATGCCACCAGAACTAGCGAGCGTATTGAATACCGATAAGAGAGGTGCCACACGCAGAGCGCTAGCCATAGCGAAATGCCAAAGATTTTCGCACCCATAATGACATGAAGCTTCTGCCAGGATAGTCGGGGTATTGAGCCCCAGATCGCCCAGTAAAATGGGAGTAGCGTTGTACGATGCGATGCTAATAAGGGAAAGGGCGTAAAATCCGTGACATTAACCAGCCAAACGTTGGAGTAGGTGGCCAGGGAAGGAGGCAGGGTAAGAGGCGAAATCTGCAGCAGTATAGTCCTTCAACTCGGGTCTTGTAGCATAGTTGTTCGATCCTTCACATCTACCAAGATACACCATGGGCTGGAGAGCAATAAGACCGCTAGTCGGCTCCGAATACAAGCAGGATAAGGCATTTGCAGACTTGGAGATGCGGCACAGGGCGCAGGGCCCCCCTAGACTAGTCAGTATTTTCCGACATAGGGTATAGATTACCCCAATGGGCATTAATTCGCATATTCAATTCTCGCGGGCAAGGCCCACAGACATTTGTGCCCGTCCGTCCATGGGATCGTGCTCTCCTCGAGCTGCCTGGTCCTGCAGACGATGCGCGAGAAAGACTGGTCCGACCCTGGGTCTCCTTTACATGTTTCCTCCAGCGAGTCTCTTGAAAACGACCCATTTGATTCGGAGTAGAGTGAGCGAGCGTTGCAACTAGTAGTAGTTCACCTTGGACAGCCTTTCGGCGCATTCTTGCTAGCACAGCAGCGTGGTGGAGAATACAGGAGAATCGCTTTGGATCACGATATTATTGCACAATGTCAAAGACGTGGCTTCTGTCAGTGTTAACAACATGATGGACATCGGACCACTAGAGATGTTGTAGGTGTATCGCATACTAGTATATATTCAGGATATATGTTACTTTCGATACTAATACTTATTGCATTCGTGTCACTGTCAATTCGGTGAAGTCTAAGTTCTCTATCGAGAGTCCCTCGTAGTACTTATTAAATGTCCCTTCCATCTGACGCCACTCCAAATTGCATGGACTGAATGATTCCATCCTAGACTTGTATCTGCCTCCCGAGCGGCGCTTTCGCCGAACTTTGAACTGGCCTTCGGAACGAAAGCGATCTTGGAATTTCTGACATGATAACTGCAAGTGACTGGTGCAACCCCACTCGATCTTTGAGGGGAATTTGTATCTTCGGGGGCTGATATAAGTATCAGAGTCAAATAGAGCATAACCATAAATACGGCTCACACACCTTAAGCTTGGTGGGTGAGTGACAAAATTACTCGTCCCAATGCATGGCGGAAGGGACCCAATAGGCTCGCCCGTAGTGCTCGTCTTGAGAATCGAGCCAGCAGAGTCCGTCTCGAAGAAGCATATTCTCCAGAGCAGCTCGAGCACGGTCTCTTGTCCATCCTCGACGGTTCTCCAAGATTGCTTCAACAATCCATCCACCTTCTACTTGTGCTTCTGCAAGAACCACAGCCTGATCCGCATCGAGTTCCTTGACCACGCTTCTCACCATCTTCTTTCCACCGCCAACGTCAAGCACTTCGTATCCAGCGCCGAGCGGTTGGAGTGTCTTGATGCTTCTAATGACGTCTTCCTCTGTAATGACACCACTAGCATCCTCGCCGTTACGTAGCTTGCTGACCATACAGACGAGCTCCCCCATTTCTATCACGCCCCCGTTCCTTTCTCTTGTGCTCACGCACACGTCTACTATCTGAACTCCCAGCTCATATTGCCAATCGCCCATTCCAAGCATCTCCGCCCACCAGCCGCCTTTTCTTGGTCCAGCGAGCGGGTCCACGCCGATTGATAAGCACATCTTCTGAAATGCATGGCGGAACGCTGGATCGCTACGAATGGAATCTCTGTGTGTCGTTGCAAAGTGCGAAAGGGCGGTTCGGAATTGTGTCAGTTGCGATTGCAGATGATCGACCTGGGTTTTCGAGAGCTCTGAAGATAGTTCTGCAAAACGCTGTGATACTTGTTCTCTATCAAAGGCAGCAAGACCGACGCCGCGATGCATGATGTTGCTGACGGTTGGTTGCAACTTGAAAAGCTGTCAAACGTGACCTGCATGTGATTACATGATGACAGAGATAAGATAAGATCATAATTTGATTAATGTCTCCGTGCTCTCAATGTCATATTAAGTCTGTTACTATGTACTGCTTGTCCAAGCTAGAGGGCTGTATGATAACACAGGATCTGGGCTCCTAGCGCCAGGTACTGTTGCAGGGAATTAGTTGCAGGTCAATCCATACTTACAGTGATCTTCAAGATGTGGCTCGGCCGTGATGATTAGTGTCCCAGAACTGTTTGATTATCTTGGGGAACTTGTAGTCGCCACATCGCTCACACACTAGCAAGTCGCGTTTTTCTGGGTTTCGGAATAATGAACAGAGGCGAAGACAATAAATGTTCGAGGGTGTCGGGAAGAAGGGGGTCATATTTACAGTGACACTGTAATATTCCAAACTATATCAGGAGGACTCTATACACTGGCTGGTGGGAAGGGAAGTAAACCTGAAACCTAATTGCAAGCCTTCATATAGTAAAGTTGATAGACTGCACACTGCAGTTTGTGGTCCTGTCATATACCTGATCTGACCGCTCTGATATTGATATCCGCTCCACTTTCCGACCCCCTCTGCTCCATCCATCCTCCGCTCCGTCCAATCACAAGTCCGCATTCTGCCCCTACACTTCCGCTCAACTGCTCGACCGGTCCCCTTCCATAACCTCTCCATTCAACTGGACCTCTTTCCCCTTTTAGATATATACTTCCCCCTTTAGTACATAGACCCTTACTTCCGGATGACCGGTAATTCCTATTACTGCTTGATCACTGATCCGACACGTACATATTGATATCCACTCTGACTTATGTCTTCGCCTATGTAAAGTACTTACAAACTATATCCTTGGTACATAGCTTTACTACATAGTTATCCTGATCACTGCCTCATACATAGAAGTATATAACATATCCTGTACTTAGATATTTTCCTCAGTCTTAATATTACTTGTCTTCTCACAGTTACATCTTGTGAGAATTCTCAGTAGGACCTTGCCTCCTCTGGACACAAGTCTCAACTTGTTGTCACCTCCGACCCTCTGACCCTCCGCTCCAACTTAGAGCTGTGCTCTAAGTCTTTCCCTTATACTCCGCCCCTATCAAATATTCTCCCTTGTCCCTCCACATTATCCTCCGCCTTCCCCGCCCCTACCAAACATTCCCCCTGCTCCTATCCACCCTCCGCATCACTCCCCGCCTTCTCCGCTCCGCTCCTAGTCGGCCCGCCACTAGTAGCTCTTACTCCCTGACCCTCAAAGTGGACCAAAGCAGTCCACTCGTCCTATCGTCGGACCCGCTCCAAATTCGGGGCACGTACTTGGCTAAGGGCGCAGCACAAGAGCTGAAGCCAAGCCCCGACCCCTCTGCTTCCTGAGCCTGTTACGAACTCAGTTGGTTCCGCACTAGATACCCTCAAGGAGTACCGATCTAGTGTTGCATTGGGTTTCAAGGTGAGACTACTAGATGGAGAGTCTAGTAGAAGATAGTGTAAATGTGATAGAAGCGGTGAGGCTTGCTATTTAGCTGTCGTGCTATCCCTCTGTCCTGAGGCTTTAGGCATGATACTGAGTAGATTCAAGTTAAGGACTACTACAGCGTATGGAGTCCTTTATATACGAAAAGCAGAAGATACCGGTTGAACGGTAAGGGTCAAAGGTAATACCGACAATGCGGTAAGGGCATAGGGTGTGAGTCAGAGATAACAGATAAGCCAGATAGTGCGCAAGAATGATCAGCCAGCATGGATAAGCCAAGTGAACGGTAAGATGGAAGTCGCTTTAGCGACAGATAGTGGGAATGAAAAGATAGGCAAAAGAGAATAAGCTAGTCTGAGGGGCTTACATAACGTCCCTGTAACATCACCTCCCGTTCTACGGATGAAGTCACCTGGCTTCATGCGTCAAGGCGGGCATCGTCCAAGAAAACATCGTCGATGTCTAAACCTTCGATCTCATTAACTTCGAGTCTGCGGTCGTCTTCATCGTCGCGGTCAGGGATAATACCTTGGTGGGCGTCATAAAAGCGTTCAAGACGTGTGAGTTGTGCGTGGAAGTTAGGGTCGGAACGACCGCGGCGAAGAATAGTGCGTCCATTAAGACGTGGGCAGTATGAGGTGAAATGTCCTGGGGCGAAGACCCCGCAGATACGACAGAAGTACTGATGGCAATGACAATGTTTATGGCCATATCATTTGCAATTGCGGCAAATGAAGTTGGCAGGGTGGGTTTGCTCTGTTTCAGTAGCTTCGAATTTGGCACGATGGATGCGATCTGCGGTAGTAGTCATGACTCGTTCTGGTTCCCCTGTTTCGACGTTGGGCGCTATACCATGGAAGATGGGAGGGTATTTAACTGATAATGGTAAGCCAAGTGAAAGGAGCATGGTTGTTCCGCGGTTATGGCGATTTTGTTTACTAGGGGAGGTGGCACGGCCGGTTGGCTCAGGGACATTTAATGGTTTTCGTTCAGGAGTTTTCGGAGTAGGAGGTGGGGAGTAATGCATTATGGACGGTGTGGCAGTTCCGTCTGCTTCCAAGAAATCTCCTTCAAACTCGCTCTCTTCAGCGATGAGATTAGGTAAGTTTTCTGCATCAGCAGGGGGTTCCGGGGTTTCAGCGCGGGGTTCTGTGGGTATGAATGGTACTAGCTCGATGTTTTCTTCATCGAGAATGCTCGGTAGGATGGGGGATGGTGTAGGTTGTGCTACAAACTTGCCGTTGTTGATCTGATCAACAAGTTTGCCGAACTTCTTCGTGGCTAGGAGTGTCATGACGGCTGTTTTGATTTTGGTTTGTGCGTAGTGAAGGGATACTGTCCCGAATGTTCCACATTTGCATCCTTGCATGTCGACGATACAGGCGGTGAGGGTATCTGCGGTTCTGAATGCTGCAATGAGTTCGAAGAGGATGGGGTCGTTACGGGCGATGATGAGGTTGTCGATTTCTATAGCGTAGCGGCTATCTAGGATGAGTGCCTCCCAGAGGGCTTTGTCTTCGTTTACGGGTGTCAGATGGGGGTGGGAGGCGAAGAAGTTGGAGTCGTTTGATGAGTTAGACATGATGTTGGCTTAGAGAGTTGTTTTCTTTGCTTCTTTGCCAGCGAGTTTTCTTTTATACGTTGTCAGGATGTCGGATGAATTAGTCAAATCTGATTCGGTTTGCCAGGAGTTGTCCGATTCAGGATATCCTTTCCATGATACAAGGTATCGGCGGTGATTACCCATTCCTTTATGGGCAAGTATCACTTCTATCTCGTATTCTTCTTCGCCATTGACTACATCAGGTGGTGGTTCTTCGTAGTTCGGGCCGTGAACTTCGGTTTCGTGATAGGAGGATAGTTCGGAAGCATGGAATGTGGAGTGAACTCTCCAGGTTCCTGGGAGCTTGATTTGAATGTGATTGGTGATAAGACTTCTTCGACGGTGAATGGTCCGTATCTTTTCAGTGCAAGTTTCTTTGATGGGAGTTTTGTTAATAGATGAGCTGCGGATAGCCAGACCTTGTCCCCTTTCTTCCATGGGGTATACTTTCTTCCCTGCGTCCTTTCTCCCATTCGCTGTTGAGCAAGGGCGTGGCATGCCAGTGCTTCTTCTCGGATCTTTCCAAGATATTTCAGTCGTTCTTCTGCTGCTGGTACCGAAGCTTCAGGGAATGCTTGGGGTAAGCTTTTCGGTTCGTACCCCATCATCAGGGCGAAGGGTGATGTATTTCTGGCAGAATGTTTCCTTGAGTTGTGGACGAATTTGGCCATTGGCAGATGTTGCGACCATTTGGCTGGGGTGGTGCGGCAGTAGATTCTGAGGTAAGTTTCTAGTTCTTGGTTGAGTCGTTCTGTTTGTCCATCTGTCTGTGGGTGGTAAGCTGTGGAGAGGGCTACTTGGTAATCTAGAATCCGTCCTAATTCTTTGGCGAATTTGGAGGCAAATTGTAGTCCTCTATCAGAGATGATTTTGTCATAGAGGCCGAAGCGTGTGAACACCTTTTTAAAGAAAAGGTTGGCAACGCCTTCCGCGGTGATGGTTTTCTTGCATGGACACAGAATTGCCCCCTTCGTTAGGCCATGGTCGACCACGACCATAACAGAATCGAAGCCATGGGACGGGGGAAGGTCAGTGATAAGGTCAACAGAGACCTGTTCGAAGGGGCGAGTGGCGACGGAGGGAATCGGCATCAGGGGCGGGGGTGACGGGGTGGGTATCGGCTTTCATTTGTTGGCAGACGGCGCACCCGGCGACATAGTTGCGGATGTAGGTGCCCATACCGGGCCACCAGTAGGATTTCTTCACATTCCATTCAGTGATAGTGCGGCCGGGATGGCCCACAGTAAGGTGATCATGGTGGAGGGCGAGGACCTTGTGGCGAAGATCAACCGGGACGTAGGCCCGATCTTTATAAAATAACACGCCATCGGTGAACGCCCAATCGGAGAGGGCAGATTTGATTGGAGGGGTGCAGATACTGCTCAAAGCCTGGAGGGCGGTCTGGATTGTAGAGTCAGGCGCCGACTCAGTCAGAGTTTTAAACTGGTGTGCGAGCACGCCATCGACCAGGTGGACGAAGAGAGAGTTGGGGAGTAGGGTAACATCGGTGTTATCAGGATCACCGACAACATGGTCTGGTCGTCGTGACAGAGCATCCGGGGCGGCAAGCTTGGCGCCAGGGACATGGTGGAAAGCGAGGTCGAATTCACTAAGAGTGAGCTGCCACCGGGCTTGGCGACGTGTTAATTGCTGTGCTGAGCGGAAATAGAGGAGATTCTTATGGTCAGTAAAGACAATAACCGGGTGGGGGTTTTCCTTCTAAGAAATGCCTCCAACTTTTGAGCGCGCGTATTACGGCTAAGAGTTCTTGGTCGTAAATCTGGTAGTTCCGTTTGGCGGCATTGAATGATTGGGATAAGTACCCGCAAGGATGGTAGGCGCCATTTTCATCAGTCTGTAACAACACAGCACCGGTGGTGAAGAGTGATGCATCAGTAGCGAGGGCAAATTGTCTAGTTGCGTCAGGAT